TTATATCTTAAATTAATATTAGTAGTAAATATAATAATAAAATATATATTAGGGGAGTCACGTGACTTATAAAATATTTTATTATTATTTTTAAATTTTATAAAATATTAAGTTTTTTAATATATATTATTATATTATAATATATATTAGGYTTACTAATATATATTAGGCTTACTAATATATATTATTATAAATATAAATTATTATATAATAATGTGTATTATTATTAAATATATATTAATTTTAATAGTTTAAATCTTATTAAATATGACTTTTCGACTATATTGAGCTTTGATATGTATTCGCCGGCGGATACGAATGTGGGCGTCCTGATACGGTATCACAACCCCCCCCCAGCGCCTGCATGGATGGTCGCTATGGATTCAGCTACCCACATTATCGATCCGGACGGCGAGGTGGTGATAGTGCTGAGCAATGCAAACGCGCCGTTTGCTGCCCCTGATGGGGATATGCTTGAACGTAAGATAACAGTTTCTTGAATAGTGGCAGTCGGGAATCACCGGACAAGACGCCATCGTGGTTCTGAGATGCATTAGGTATTGATGAAAAGTATAGCAATGATGCCGGAGCCCGAGCCAGCCCCAGAAAGCGAGGTTGAACAGGGGGTACCTTACCTTGAAGGACCATACGACGAGCCTGTCGCCGAACCAGCTGGAGTCCCTACCCCAGAGACACCCGAAGACCCCATCCCAGCGGCCACAGAATATCCCGCCGAACCTGCATCCCTGGAAGAAATCGCAGAAATGCCAACATACCGTATCCGAGTCTCTGCAAAGCATCTAATGCTTGCGTCGCCATATTTCAAGAAGATGCTGACTGGCGGCTGGAAGGAAAGCCTTGCCTATCAACAAAAGGGCTCCGTTGAGATCACTGCCGAGGACTGGGATCTCGAGGCACTTCTGATTCTACTTCGTGCAATTCACTGTCAACATCACCTTATACCCGAGAGTCTGGAACTCGAGACGCTGGCCAAAGTAGCCGTGATCGCAGACTACTATGACTGCAAGGATGTCGTCTACGCTTGGGGCAGGGCAACCTGGATGAGAACGTTAGTTGCAGATCTCCCTGAAGTATATAATTACAGAGTGGTCATTCTGTTGTGGATTTCTTGGTTTTTTCAGTGTCACGACCATTTCAGATGGTGCACCTCGATCGCCATGTCCACCAGTAGAGGTCGCATTTCCCACCTGGGACTTCCAATTCCGGATAGAGTCATCGGTAAATAGTACCTACCCGAACTATTCAGGAGTCTGGCAAGACGCTTCTAACCGCTGGCATAACATCTAGAGGCACTGAACAACCGAAGAGAGTTATCGATCGATCTGTTATACCAGTCTCTCGAGGATAAACGCGAATGGTTTCTGACCGGCGAGTTCGGGTGCAGCGTCGAGTGCAGCTCCATTATGTACGGGGCCCTCACCAAGGAGATGCAGGCGGCCAACTTGCCCTTAAAGATGCCTCTCGGCCCCTTTCTGCGCTTGAGTCATCAGGGTATTGTGCATAAGATGAAGTTCTTCCGTTCGCCGGAGTGGGCGAGTCGAGATGACACTACCTACAGTCATTCTTACAGTCCTCACGAGTGTCCGGAATCATCTTTCAAGAAACTATTTGGGATCCGGAGCGAGAGGATTAGAGGCTTTGACCTTGAAAGCCTGAATCCTTAGCATAATGGGCTAATGTAGCATTAGACGACTTACCTATTCCTAAAGCTAGTATCGACACAGACTGTTATGAAGAAATACATGCCTCGCGCATTTAACAAGACTATATATCTGACCACTAGAGAACAATGCCATCCCTCTAGGCCTTCAAATACCTCCTAAACCAATCAACAGCCGCATTCTTCCCCCGAACCATGGCCTCCCTCTCGCCCTCCTTATTCTCATCACCCCGAATGAAACAAGCATGCACCACGCCGGGGAAATGCTGATAATCAAACACCACCTTGAGCCTCTGCAGCGTCTCAAACGTATAGCTCTTCATTTCCCCGCTATACGCAGAATCAATCTCCGGCGCCAGAATCTGCACCGGCACGCCAATCTCATCGATATCCTTCTTCGTCAACAGCGACGGATGTCCGACGGATATAACATCCACCAGCGCCTCCCCATTCTCTGCATGCTCCCGTGCACCAAGTCTGAAGCTCGCCCAGCCGCCATAGCAGTACCCCACCGCCCCGACCTTCTTAAAGCCGTGATCCCTCTTCAGCGCGCGCGCCGTCTCAAAGATCTCGGCCTCGCGCTGCTCGCGCCCGTTGCGCGATATGAAGCCCGGCAGATCCAGCTGGTCGAATTTCTCAGCGGCGATGAGGTCGAAGTCGAGGATTTCGCCGCCAAAGTAATCCGGCACGAAGACGGTGGCGTCGATTTCGCGTGCGAAGTGGTCGGCGAGGAGCCGGACGTTGGGGAATGTCCAGCCGAAGAGGTCGGCGATGAAGAGGATTGCGACGTCGGGGTTGGAGCCTGCGATGTAGGTGTTATTGGATGCGAGGGTGGATTCGCGGCCTGTCGGTGTGCCGGTCCAGGTGAAGCCGGTTATGCAGCATTTTGAGAAGGACATGGTTGGGGTGTTTGGGATGGATTGATGGGTGGTTGTAGATGTTTGGACTGTAACTGTGGACTTGTGCCAATTTATAGTGCTGTCCCGGGGTTAATGATGCATCTCCGTCTAATTCCGCTGCTTTGAACGTAGGTCCCGTCATTTTTGGGGCGCAGGCTTTAATGCCGGGATTTATGCGCGAGGCGCGGAACTAAAGGGTAACCTGGCCAAATTAGGAAATAGGGCATAGCTCTATTTCTTTGCAGAATAAGGCCTTTACGTAGTATTTTAGTAGGAACTAATCGCTAATTTTCCAAGTTAGAGTTCTAAAAACTTGGTGTTCTGTGCGTCATGTGACTAGCCGCCGCGTTCAGCGACGAAGTACACCCCGCTGGCTTTGCAAGGCAGATATATATATTTAACCTGGCCTAATTAGGAAATAGGGCATAGCGTTATTTCTTTTTAGAATAAGGCCTTTACGTAGTATTTAAAAGTTCTAGAACTAAGGGCTGCGCTTAAGCCCCCCTGGCTCTGCGAGGCAGATATATATATTTATGGCAGAGCTAGGAAAGAAAAGGCGGTAAGAAGAGATTATGTGACTGTCCTTTTTTCTAGCCAATTAGCGTCCTTCTTTCCGGCCAATTAGCGTTATTCTGCCGTTTTACATGATCCCTAATAAAGGTCACGTGACTGGGAGCCGGGACCTACAATTTATTGTGCGCTTTGGCTCCACTTTGTTCCGCGTCGCGCAATCAGCTGACTAATTAATGGTGTTGTTAGATGCGGACTCTGGCATTGGACTATGATAGTAAGCTCGATAGCCTATTAACCCGGAAGATACTAGTATCCATTAGCTAAGTACGAGAATAAGCAATGGCGTACCTAGGTAATATCCAGGCCATTCCCAACACCAAACAACAGCATTTATGATTGTGATATCCCGAAGACAAGGGCATGAAAAGCGGTACTTCAATAACCTAGGTTAACAGACAGTATCAAAGAGCAGAGATAAGACGGACATCTCTGCTAATAGATGCATACAGCGGTGTCCTTGGGCCCTTCCTATTGGAGGCATAGCCCTTGGTTAAGCGCCGAAAGGCTCTGCTTGTACGGAGCACGACAAGGTGCGGGGTCGAGGCTCGTATTCCCTGCACCTTCCAAGGCCAGCGCAAACGAATACTTGGTATCTATCAGAAGGTCAACATTCTCTGGGCTGGACAGGGAATAAACATTCCAACCTCCAACTTTGGAAGTTATTCCGTGAGCTGATATGTCAGTATACGGGTCGGTCGCTCTTCGTCGTCTCCCTGCTTACACTCTACAGAGAGAACAAGGTTCCCCACTACATCAAACCTTTCATTATGTGCTTCGAGCATCCGGCTCCTACCCGCTATATCCCGTGTGGACATACCGTCAACGACCCTGAACAACCAAGCTCCGTCAAGCCTGCCGATCATCCATCCGCACCAGGCAGCCCTGGACCCGCGGTGACTACCCACGACAAACCCTTAGACGATCCTTATGATGACTTCCCATACATCGGCAATGGCATTAGCGGCTGGGTCTGTGACATGGGCGGAGGCCGTGCTGTCAAGAGGCCCAAGCTCTACCAACTCTGGCTCTACCCAGACGACAAGCAGCTGGAATACATGAACAAAGAACACCAGATGATGTTGGCGGAAGAGATCAAAGTTTTTGAACGCCTAGGCCGCCACGAAGGGATCATCGAATGCTTAAAAACATCTCAGCACGGCATCGAGATGCCCCTTGCTGAACACGGAGACCTGAAGTCGTACATGGAAGCACACCCAACACAACCAGCGGCAATAACACACGCCGTCAAAATGAACTGGACCCAGTCCCTCCTCGAAGCCTGCACATACATCCACTCGCGCATGGTGCTGGTTGGGGACATCGCGCTCCGCAACGTCCTAGTCATGGGCGATCTCCGACTCCAACTGACCGACTTCGGAAACGCGCTCATGTTCCCGCTCGACGAAGGACTGGACATTAACACGATCAACGACCACGGTCTGACGGCGCAAGTGGAGATCTTCCATGTCGGCTGGATCATCTATTCCATTGCGACTTGGCACGCCCATGAATACGACGATCTTGATCCTGAGAAACCCGAGAATCGGACTAACGACGAACAGTACGGGCCCTGGTGGCCTGATGCGTCGCGATTCCCGCCTCTTGATGGTGTTTTCTGTGGCGAGATTATCGCGAAGTGCTGGGCGGCGGGGTATAAGAGTATGGAGGAGGTGAAGGGTGAGGTGGATCGGCTGTTTGCTGCTGCGTCTTCTCTTGAAGATACGGATTCTGGGTTATGATATGATGTGTTACTTTGCCTTTGCGAGATTGCATTGCCGTTAACCGCGCGATGGCGTTTAGACAGACAAGACAGATGGACAATCGGTATAGAGCTCTACAGACTGACGGATCGAACGAGACAGAAAGAGAAGAGATTACCATAGCTTTGCTTGTCCAGTCCACTTCCTTCCTCTGCTGCCACTCAACAATGGCCCTCGATGCCATCCACTTACCCTTACCTATTGGTAGATTCCCCCGGCCGCTTCATCCATTCCCAACCCCTCATCCCATCCCAACTCCAACTCCTTAAGCACAATTGCCCGCCCGCTTCGTGAGACTCCGCCATGGACGCTGTCGCCGCCAGTGTCAAGAGCCTCGGATCCGGTTCCATTCAGATGATTAGGACTGCACGGATTACACTGCCTCCTGCTGTCAGGAGAGACGATTCGACAGGGCTCTTGTACCTCCCCACCTATCCTGCAACAGACCATTGCATTGAAGCGGACCTTATTGAGATGCAGAGCATCCCCCCCAACCGCCTCAATCTCAAGAATTCAATATTCTCTACGTTCGCGTGTACCGAGTAGGTGGCGCGTCTCCTGGAGTGTTCCAAGGTTAGGTCCTTCCCAGGGCACCTAGATGATAAAGCCCAGGGTCAGCAAACTACCTGACCTATATACGTGCGCTATGCCCACATTGAGTTGCGAGATGCCCCATCGAACTACCGTACGTCCGTCCATGAGTCTTGTAGAGCCAATGGATAGGAAGTCAAGTTGCATTGTATTGTAGGCAGTGGTGGGAATTGCCAACTGAGTGGGAGGCCTTTAATGGGCCTGGACTCCTGTCTGGTTGACCATTTAGCTGCGTAAGCTCAGTTGGATCTTTGTCTTTAAGGAAATGCGGATGGGATACTTAGGTAGGTACAACATAACATAAAGTCAATCAAAGACATCGCCCCTTCAAGTGGTCAAAAATCCAGATCCATTCCGAGTCATCCATAGAGCCCGGCGTTCACTTTCGAAGACGGTGTTGTGACGGCTCTACTGAACAGGTTGGTTGGTACAGGGCGAGAGGCCCACGAGCATATGTACCGTAGGTACCCATGCATGCATTGAGAGTAGACCAGTGGTCTCTTGAACCCCAGCGTCGATGGGAAATCATTATCCTGATCAAATATATATGCATTTCGGCAGGAAAGAAAGCAATAACAAAAAAACACCAACCGCTTTTAGCATATATGTAAATCGCCTCGCCAGAGATAGGCAGAGTACATCCTAAATACCGTATACCTATACCACAATCACAAGGAAAACAACCCGCTCCTCCTCTTCCCATGCGGATAAACAATCAGCGCACTGACAAACAAGCCCACCGTAATCCCAATCGCCGTCTGAATCATCCCGTAGCCCAGACTCGTCAAGGAGGTCCCGCCACTCCCACCCGACGTATCCGCCGTCCCATTCCTCACCGCATCGCTGTACTCAATCGCGCTCAAAATCGAGCCACTCGACGCCAAGCCAGAAGGCACAAGCGTGAAGATACCCGGGATGGTCGAGGACACCGCGTTCCCGTGCCAGATGCGACTGTACAGGTTCGCCAGGAGGCCGATGGTGAATGCGCCGACCGTATTCGCGACCTCGGACGACGACCCCAGCCGCTGCGTGCTGAAGTAGTTGGTGATGTACCCCGCTGTGCCGATGAGGACCATTATGGGTGTTTGTCGGAGTTTCGCCTGGTTAATCAGCGCCGCGATGAGACAGTACACCGCGACGAAGGGGAAGTGCTGCGTGTACACGCTGCCCCAGACGGACTGGCGGGCGCAGGTCGTGTCGCTTGTTGCGTCGCTGTCCATGGCGCCGTAGATGGTTGTGCCGACTGTGACGCCGTAGCCGAGGAAGAGGGAGTAGATGATTGTGTAGACGAGGCGGATTGAGCCCGCGATCATTTGGTGCGACTGGAGTTCCAGGCTACTTGTTAGCACGGAGAAGCCCGGGAGAATCAGCGCGATGGAGGACTCGGTGATGGACGCGTAGCAGAAGATCGGGTCTGTGTGGCCGGGTAGGCGGATTGAGCCGAAGGCGCGGGCGAGGAAGGAGACGATGATGGCGGCGCTGACTTCGAAGACGTTGGCGTATAATGCGGAGCGGGGCATGAGGACGTGCTGCATGAAGCCGACGCAGCAGCCGAGGAAGAAGATGATGGGGAGGTCGATGGGGCGCGCGGAAAACCCGAAGGGCCCGACGGCTGCGGAGCCGAGCCCGTACAGCAGGATCACGAGCCACTTGTTGTAGCGCGGCTTGCGGTCCATGAGCTCGGTTAGTTCGGCGATGGCGGTTTGGATGTCGACCATGTCGTGCGTGACGCGCTTGTAGCAGTGGTGCACGGCCTCGAGGCGCCCGAGATCGAGGCCTTGCGGGACACGGATGAGTTTTACCTCGGCCGTGCGCGTGACTGGGTCGTCGAACGACATGATCATGCAGCCCGGGAGGTACATGAACTGGGCGTTGATGTCGAGGACTCGTGCTGTCATCTGCATGTACTCTTCGAGACGGTGGGTGGGGGCACCGTAGCGCATGAAGGCGCGGCAGAGCTGCATGATGTAGCGCTGGCGGAAGATGATTTCCGCGATGTGGATGGTCAGCTTGACCTCCTTGCTGTCTTTGGTGGTCTTCTTCTTCTTCTTGTCGTCCGTTTGGAGCCCGACCTGCGGCACGTCTGCCTTGGCCCAGGCGTTGGACGAGGCGATGTGGCCCATGTTCATGGACGCCCGCACTAGGGATGCCGTCGCGGTGTGGTCGGACTTCTTGTACCAGTGCCGGGGCTTGACCTTTGGGCGGGTGGGAGAGGTCGGCGTCGACATTGATGTTAGTGTTGGCGTTGTCGAGAGCGGCGCGACGAGCGTTGCCTGCGAGCCGCTCTCTGACTCGGGCGCCGAGTACAAGCTCGTCGTGCGCGACTGCGATCCGTTCGACTGCAGCTGTAACAGCGCTGCGAGCACACCTCCTGGTAGAGACGGCGCGGCGGGGGGTTGAGCAGTCGCCTCGACGTCGCCCTGCGGTTGGTTAGACGGGGCCGGCGCGCCTTTCATGCCCTGCATCAAGCGTTCGGCCTCGGCGCGCACAGCCTGCTGATACTGCGCGGCGCTGATCGCCTCGTTTCCATTTCCATTCCGGCGGAAAATCGCCGCCAGCTCGTCGTCGTCCGTTGAGCCCAGCTTCTCCGGGTCGACAATGGAAGAGCCCAGTCCGGCTTCGTGCTCGCCCATCGGCTGGCTTAGAATACTCGCCAGGCGACTCGACTGGTCGCGGACGGTGCGCGCAGCTCCGCGCCATCGCTCACGGCTGAGCAGGGACGTCCCTGTCGTGGAAAGCGTGTCATTCCGGGCCTGCTCTCCAGCTGTTTCTTCAGGCTTCTCCTCCCCGCGGGGTTCCGGGCTGGCGGAACCGCCGGATTCAGCGTTGTGAGCGGTCATCGAGTCAGTGCAGTATCGTTTGCGATGAATCTGACGTCCACTTCGTCAGGTTGTCCGAGGCGAGTGAACCAGGGATCTGGGGATGGAATTGGACATGATGAGCAGAAACCGAAGAAGACGTTTGAGTCGGCTCGTTCAGGGGCGATCCCCACATGCAAAATACGAGCGAGTTTGTGCGGAGATCGTCCAGCTTGACAGCAGAAATTGTTGCGCGGCCATGTGGGTCGGCGAGCGAGGTCATCGATCAATCCAGACCTTGAGATGGTTCCTCGGATAGTATAGTAAGCTTGAAAGGCCGTCATCTTGATGGGACTCGCTTGAAAGACGAGATTTCTGATGGTAGAGTTGCGGTTGTGATGGAAKATGGATGCAGAAGGAGAGAGTCTTGGAGGAGCGACAAGCTTTGCCGTTGCAAGGCTTGGCCCCGGCTGTTCGGCACTGGGCACTGGGCACTCAGAGTCAGGGGCAACAACTACACAACGATGGTGTTCTTGCTCATGGTCTCTTCCTCATGGTGCTCAGTTCAGGCTCAGTCTCGATTGACTTACGGATACTTGAAATGCTCTTTGAAAAATCAACACTGCGCACTGCAATCTATTCCAAACCGCCATCCACAAACAAAGTTCAATAACTCGCAAGCCAGTGGCCACAATGTACTTACTCCCGGCGAGGACTCTATATTTACGGCCTAGCTTTAACATAGTGGCGGTGTTTCAGCAATAGCCAAGTCAGTTACGCAAAGTCCGGCTGGACTCTAGACTGTTGGCGACAGCAGTTAAATTTAGCACCAACATCAAACCATCGGAGCTAATAGTACTTGTTCCTGGGCCTAGACACCTTAAGTTCATTTAATTGCCGAAGTTATCGCAAACTACCCATTCTGCAGACAGCTGGCATTTTGGGGATAAGGAATCCCAAGCTGCAACGAACAAGACAACCGTTTAATTATACCATTAGCTTTGCAAGTATATAGTTCTTCAAGGAATACAGGGTGGAGTACAGCCAGGGGACATGCTTCTCTGGTGTCTACCACTAATCAATTAATCAATGGGAGTGTTTACAGTCCAGCTCTAGCTCTCTTTTATATCTTTGAGGCCCTTCCTAGACTCCACCGCTTTATATACAGGCAGTGTTATCCTTTGGTACCGGCGATTTATCGCAAGATGGCGGCGATAGGACATGGTCAACAAAAAAATATGACAAGGACGAGATTCGAACTCGCGAGGTTTCCCACTGCGGATTTTGTTTATTTAAGCAACAGTTGCCTACCTAAACACAGCGCCTTAACCACTCGGCCACCTTGCCTTAGCAATAAACAGAAGAGAACGTTGTAAAATATACAGCCTTTATAACGTCCCGCCTGCAGAAGAGATTACGGGGGGATATCGAAGGCATCGATGGTGACGGTGTGACCTGTCATTCTGAGATTTCCGCACCTAGAAGAGATATATCCTCGTTGTTTGGTCGTAGGTCAGTCTTTCCAATGATAAATGGTTTTCATTCCATCTCCAGATCCAGCATTCTATAGGGGTTACCCCATGCCGAGCAAATCTTCCCATGTCACAGCTTCTATAGGCCTGTCTGCTGGTCAATGCTAAGTAGTGAGCTTGATACGTATCTAACAGCTTCCATAGTCCAATTATCCTTTCATATTGATAGCGGCAAAGGGGAGGGAGACTTACAAACCTTGGAAGCCTCCTAGGAGTCCAGCAATTCCGGGCGACTTGCAGAGCGAACTGAGTACCCTAGAACCGGTTAGGTAGTCAGACCAGCAAGCCCTGGCAGGGATGTATTAAGCACGACCTACACTGGCGGACCTTCGCTTCGCGACGAGGACGGTACGGGGGCCCAGCGCTCCGGCCGGTGACTCAACTCCGCTTCTCCCCTTCAAATGTTGTTTTCTCCTCTTCTCATTGACCAACATCTCGGCAGCATCCAGTATCCCAAGTCCGTTGACAGATGGCATACCAGGAATTCCAAACCTGCACTGACCCCGTGTTTGAATCAAGGAAAATCGTCGATGCCGACGGCACAGCCCTCTACGAGACCCAATTGGTCTCCCTCTTGCACGAGATCATCGCGCGCAATGACAGCAATCTATTAATGCAATATATCACTGCTTGGGAATGGGATCTTCCCGGTCGTGATATTCCAGTTCCAGACATCCACTCGCACGATCCGTTCTATATCGCCGCAGCACATGGGTGTCTCGACGCGTTACGCGTTTTGCTTGATGCTCACTCCGCGGGAAAGACAGAAGCCCACTCAGCATCAGCCTCAGCGTCAGCGTCTATCGAGCAAGAGCGCGGATTCTCGTTATTGCATGTTGCTTGCCAGCACGCGCAGATCGAGATCGTGAAATTCCTGCTCGATTCGGATCCCGCTTTAGCGACAGTTCATGATAAGGATCCGGGGGGTTGGACACCGCTCATGGCCGCAGCTTACTCGACTGGGACTTTTGGCGACGGCGCAGATACCAGCACCCTGGGTGAGGTGTTGATAAATATGCTCCTGGACCGGGGCGCTTCAGCGCGTGATTGCGTGTCATCACCTACGACTGGCATTGATACGGCTACAGCTAGTGAATCTGGAGGGCACCGACTACCGCAAGCAGACTCCACCGTTCTCAGTCTGGCAATTAGTGGCTGCAGTTACAGGACAGTGAAACGGCTCCTAGAGGCTGGTGCAGACATCCATCAACCTCTAGCAATTCATAGCGACACCCCCGGTTCCGGGTTCTGGGATGACGGCCTTGATGTCCGCGATGTCACCGCGTTGCATCTCGGCAGCGCCGCTTGGAATGTAGAAGGGATCAGGGCGGTTCTTGACCATTGCTACGAAATGAAGTCCGACATGACCTTCTGGCGCGACAGTATGGGCCGACTGCCCCTGCACTACGCGGCCGCGGGCTCCGATCCCACTGGCACATTAGAGCCGTCTCTGATCATACTTGAGAACGATTTGGCCCAGAGAATAACCGGTACGTTTGAGCTGCTCGTACCGAATGATGACGCCGGCACGGCGAAGTTGATCAACACGCGCGACGCGCAAGGCGCCACACCCCTTCACTACGCCGTCCGCACGCACGGCCGCTGCGGAACCCAGGGCTCAAAGCACGCGTATCGGACAATTGCATGGCTCTTATCGCACGGCGGAAATGCCAGCATTGGAGATGGCAGAAACCGAACCGCTCTCCACGTTCTCGCCTACGCCTCCCTGGACGGCGAACCCATCGATACAAATCTGATCACGCTCCTGATGAAGTACGGATGCCCGCTTGATACGCCGGACGAGGACGGCGAAACACCGCTACACATCCTAGCGCGGCATCTGCGCCAAGCACATGCAGCCAAGGAACTCATTAAACACGGGGCGCGAGTTGATGTCGTTAACAAGAAGGGGAATCTACCACTGCATGAGGCGATGAGGGGCGCGATCAGGCCCAGGCTAAGTTGGGATTGTCAACGGCAGGAACAGGTATCGCTGGGGGATCGCGTTCGGGCTCAGGATGAGGTTGTACGGGCTCTGTTGGATGTGCATGGCACCACCAGTGTATTGGATCAGCCTAATGGGCAGGGAAAGACGCCGCGGGTGTTGAGGGAGGAGACGAGGCGGAGATGGGAGGAAATGGAGCGAGGAACCAACGCATCAAACTAGACAGGGGAGATTTAGAATAATAAGCTCTTAATGAATGATCTACTACTCTAGGGCAGTGTACGAATAGGAATGATTTGCCGCATGCCGCCACGGTGTCTGAGTAGCGCGGCCTATGCATTGCCATGATATCACTTGACGGAGAAAATACGTTGGAAATACAAGCGGTAGCCAGACTTAGTACTGGTTGTACTTGGACCTATATAAGCAGTGATATATACTGTGAGCCAGTTGGGGTAACCCCGCCTTACGCGAGAGCAGATGAGGGGCAATGCATGTTCCAAGGCTGCCGTCAACTATCCCGACATCTCGCAACTTCATCGTTGAGGTTATCTTGATCAAGAAGTCAGCATCCTCACACTCCAAAGATAGGTGCAGATAACTATGGCTATCAAACAAATCGTGTGCTCCGGCACCCCATACGAGGTACACACAACCACCCAGGTTCCCCTCCTCCCACTTCCCCAAGAACCTCCTCTGACACCGTCCAGATCGGCCAAATCCACGGCTACCACGCATCCACCGAGATCTCCCGCGCAATAACCTTCTATGCGACGATGTTCGCTAAACACAGCAAGCTCACCTGGGCGCAGGTGCAGGATCTCGCGAGGGACTTTGACGATCTGATTAAAGACAAGTGGCCGCGGTATTATGAGGAGCTCCAAGGTATAGCATCGACTTAGCTTTCTAGTCTTATGTGAGGATTGCTGATATGAGGTGGACAGGTATCGCAGACGGCGCAGAAAGAGACGTAATCGACATCATCGCGCTGAACGTCCGCACGGAGATCGTCTTCGGGCAGTTCAGCGACGGGTGCACGAGTCTATACTACCGCGACAGCGCCAGCGAGACAGGAAATGCGTTTCTAGGCCAGAACTGGGATGTACGGCCCCTTCTCTCCCTTTGCCTCTCCCCTTCCCATCCCTCCAATGACTACTATGGGAGCTAACGCGCCCAGTGGGAAACCGCCCAAGCCCAAAATCTAATCCAACTAACCCTAATCCAAAAAGACACTCCAGTGATCAAGATCATCACCGAAGCAGGGCTAATCGGGAAAATCGGGCTGAATTCCGCGGGCGTAGGGGTGTGCTTCAACGCCATTCGCGCAAAGGGGCTCGATAAGACCCATATCCCCGTACACCTTGGCCTCCGCATCGCGCTGGAGAGTCGCTCTGCGCTTGACGCCGTCGAGACCCTGGAAGCAATTGGCATGGCCAGTTCGGCGCATATGCTTATCGGCGACGAGAACTCCGCCATCGGGCTCGAGTTCACCTCTTCAACGTTTGCACGCATCCCCGTCAACGAGAGGGGATTTATCGCGCACGCGAACCATATGCTTCTTCCGCATGCTGGGATCGATGAGCCGGCCTGGTTGGCGGATTCGGCTGTGCGGGTGCGGACGATGGGGGAGAATATCGAGAGGCTCGTGGGCAGTGGGAAGGTGGACTGGGAGAATTTCGGGGCGCTGTTTCAAGACGAAACGGGGTTTCCGTGCTCGATTAACCGGGCGACGAGTGAGGGGAGCCAGATTGCGACGCTGTTTAATATTGTGATGGATTTGGGAGGCAGGAGGGCGGTCGTTGTTTTGGGGCGGCCGTCGGAGGAGCGGGTTGAGAGGGTTGTTCTTGAGTTCGCGGGGTAGGCGATTGCTCGAGATCTTTGACCATTAGGTTGAGTGTCTGTTTAACTGCGAGTACTATTGAGAGGAATTGATGGTTAGCATTGGAAATGGATATAGGGAAATGGTGCGGGCAGGGTGAGTAAGGTTAAGTTGGATAGGAACGATCACCATACCTTTGGCCGATAGCGCATCATCGATGTTTCTGGTTCCTCCCGATCGCTTTTTCTTTTTTTCCCTTTTACCGGTGGAATTTGATTCTTCATGGTATCTGGAGATCGTTGTAGCCGTAGGGACATGACTGTCAGAGAAGCAACGAAAAGTTGGCCCAGATGGAAGCCGTTGGCTTGGACTGGACGCTGGGATCGCCCGTGCGTTGGCGCAGTAGAATGAACAGAAGAGCCTTGAAATGGTCTTTGCTAGTTTGTCAGTGAGAATAACGGCGACGACCAGGGCGTCAGGAGGTAGTGGGTTGGATCTTGAAAATCGCCGCGGAGATGGGCCGGAAGGACCACGCACTGATATCCATCACAGGCCTATTTCGCCTGCTTAATGCCCATCTACTCATCAGATTTCGACCTGAGCCTGCTTCTCAATATTGAATAGTTCGATCAGAATGCGATGCATATTGGAATATGGTATCGGAGAGACGAGCCTTTGAGGCCGGTCGAAGTCATACCATGAGCGTGAGTTAGAACCTAGGAGCAATCGCTCTCCTCCAAGTCAAATCCCCAGAACACATGAACCATCAAGCACAAACGCTATCCAAGGTGCCTTGAGGCTTTGATCAGTATTCTGATTACTTTTCAACCGGGACTTTGAAAGAGGTGGATGATGGGTTGAGTGTCCCAATGCAACAGAGAACGTTTCGCCTTCTGAGCGTTAAGGTATGAAATTTGCAAATAGGTAATAGATGAGTGTCTAACTTTGTTTAACTGCATACAAATACTTACCCAGGTTGATGCTCCTTGATCAGAGTCAATGCCATCCCCGTCTCGGAGGATGTACAAAGCTCGCTGTCCGACCGGCTTTAGAACCCAATATCGTCCTCATTGCTTTTCTCATCTCACTCTATAGTCCTGTCATTCTCACGAGAAGCGTCACGGAGCCATCGGGGCCAGGTTATGCTTCGAGATCGGCCGTGGCGTGCGTACAGAATAGTGTCAGGCTCCGGCCTGCGGACGAGTACAACCGAGGGTCCATGATGGTCTGAGGCATCGCTTCCACGACCTTGCTAAAGGTGATGAACAACGCGCTAATACCTATGAGGGAAGGCTGTCAGGCGATCTGTCTTGTGGTACAGATGAACTTAAGCGCTCTGGATTCGGTCCGTACGAACTTCGCGTTGCCTGTTCAATAATGCACAGCCAGTTAGCTTGATTTCAATAGAAGCGATGGTTTGGAGGCTGGGTCTGGCCGGCGTAGATACAGGACTGGACAAAGTTGATTGAGTTGTTGTTTATCTTCATGTTTTCTCAATACATTACCTCTTGCTGGTCTTTGAGTCAGTCCCTATGTACAAGTGAACTGTGTCACGTGGGATTTTTTCTCTGCACCCCTCTTCAAGCAAGGAAGACAATATAGGTACGCGGCCATCGATGATCAGGCCAAGGGACTGTTAAATGGAGAAATAATACAGCGGTCCCTCTTAGTAGTCTGATGCCTGATACAGATCTATAGAAGGGGCGCCAAATCTGCTACATGGCTTGCATTCTCATCTCGCTCTGGAAGAACACAAACCCTGCACCCGCCAGTCTACATGTGCTGATATCTTATACACGTTGCCTTTAGACCCTTCCCAAAAGACCTGCTATAACTGCTTGAACTCTGTCAGCTATTACTTTCCAATATGCTCACTGGATATGAAGGCAGAATGGATAGCTCGCCTTGCCCACCCGCAGAGACGTTCATAAGTTGACAAGTAGACCAATCTCGGCAAGGGGGCTATTGCGCAATATGACAGCAAGGTTAAGCTTATAAATGGCACCAAATCTCTGAACAGCTCGTACTTTCCCTACTCCAGTGCAGAAAACGCGTTGTAGTGAGTGTTGTTGTGCGGAGCTTAGGTAATGCCAAAACAGACAGCACCATTCACTGCCCACCCAGGTGGGACTCCAGAGGATCAAGTCACTTCCAGGACCTCAGGACTGGGCTTTCACGTCTCTTTGTCCTTTCGCGCAAGTTCTGCACTTGGAGGTCGTTCATTCACATAATGCCCTGAGTGTTCCAGAACTTTTGGATAGGTAGGGCTACGCAGTCTCCCAATTCGTCCTAACTTTCCTTGTCAACAACACTCCCCGTTTTTTTTATCTTATTCCTTGATTCTCTCTTGCTCGCTCGATTTGAATACGCTTTTCGGAATTTGTGCATGACCATTGAGATCTATCGCTTCTCACTGGAAGCCCATTGACTCTTTTCGTGTGTTCAACTCATTAAAAAAAAACATCTGATATTGAACACACCTCCACGCCCCCATCGTTGTATCAAAACAAGATGGGAGGCGCCACCTCCACCCTCGCTGAGCCCATGGCAAAGCGCATTACCATGCACCTCCGCGTGACAAGCCTCACCGACGTTGCCGACGGCACCCCTCCAACCCTGTCATCAATTGCAGAGAACATTCAGCTGCACATGAACCTCGTCGAAAACCTGATTTCCTCTCATAATGAGAAGGGCAAGGAGGGCAATGCGTCGAGAATTCTTGGAATTCACGATCCGGACTTTGAGCCACGCCTGCACCGCAAGTTTGCGGGCTACCATTCTTGGCTGCGTTTGATGAACTGGATTTTGGAGATCGGAGACAATGAAGATGAGGACGGGAATAGCGTAGACTCCTCTGTCATCTTCGTGTCCGAGATCAACTATGAGACGTTCGGATACGGAACCTGGACCGAGGACAGGAATACATATGCGAATATGCTCAATGTCCCCATCACCCTCCCGGACGGTCCACGAACTGAAGAGGAGGCTGAAGCACTGGTATCGCGAATGGCGGAACATTATAATACTGAATCGAGTAAAGAGAACGATCCAGATAACACTCACATGGACGATGAAGATGGAATCTCAGAAGCAAGCACCATAATCGGAGAGGATTCGGAATATTCGCCAAATGGCCACTGGCGCGCTCCGACTCCTCACGAACGCGTTATCCTGCGTCGCTATTTCTACAATCTCGAGGGACAAATGGTTCTTCTCCTCTCTCATGTTGTGGTGATTGCAAGTGGTGAGGGCGACAGCAACGTTGCGAACACAATTGTAGCGCGAATGAACAATGTTATCGAGGCCATTGAGGACCTATGGAACTTTGCAGACTGCTTACGGAATGAGACCGAAGTTGTCTTGAAGGTTGGCAGAGATGCAGGTGCTGTCAAGGACAAGGAGAATCGGGAGCCAGAGCCGGAGGCAGATTTTACTATTTTGGACGATGGTGACGAGCCCGAAGCATCGCAGAACCTTGCTGAAGACCATGGTAGGGCCCTGCAGGACATCACTCCTAAGCGTGCCATACCTCCCAAGGGTCGGGGTATTCTAAAGACTCTCTGCAGCAAGGGCAAGCGCGTGTTGTACCGCGTGCGCTTCGATGAGCAAGATCTGAAAACCCGGGTTTCAAGCAAGCGTCAAGCTGGGAAGCGTCGCGTGGAACATCCTGATGCTGACGAAGATTCGGAAAACCAGAGAGCCAACAAGCGTCAGGCTGTGACGCCTAATGTTCCAGTTGATGGGGAAGATCTCGAAGACCGCCAGATCAAGATCGAGAATGAAGATGATGAGCAGACCCAAGGTGCCATCGAACAGTCGGATGACAGTATTTGGATCAGGTTTGAGCAGATCATTCGTAGTGATGCAAAACCTTGGAGGACGATACTGGACTTCCAACAAGACGCTCCTTCCGAAGCAGCTGCCCTGGACGATGCTCATGCCGAGGAAGTCGCGACTGTGGACGCATATACCGAGGAAGGGACTCGTTCTGACGAACTTGCTGCAGAAGTAGAGTTTGGCGATGAGGCCGACGAAACCTCGAATGCAAATGTCACATATGTCCAAGTAGCGGGCGAGGACGAAGAACAAACGACCGAACAGAATCTGGCGTTTCAAGGTGATGCTTTTATTGAATGGCTTGCTTGGGCGAAAGATGAGCACACGGAGTCGGTTCCCCAGACTGAGGAATTGCCGATCCAGGAACATTCTCATTCTCAAGAGGATGTCCATGTGGAGGAGCTCATAAGTCAACCAAATGCTCATGCTGAAGAGGCCACTTCCTTTGCTGAGCCCAAAACTAACACGGACATCATTGGCAACTTAGAGAGCAACAGCAATGGTAATGAGAATGTCACTGGTGCCGACCTGGATGCCAACAGCGACAAGATCATGGCTGACGCTCTGTCTGAACTTCTGGCGGAGGTCGCAACGAACCACAATGCCACCACCAACAACCGCTTGACTGGTGATGCTAGTAGCAATGTCGAAGCAGATGCTGGAGTAGTAGGTCAGAATATCAAAGACACAGCAAATCCCACCAGCAAAGGCACTGGAGAGAATGAAAACATGCTTAGCAAAGTGAATGTTCACACCCAGCAATTTACAGGTGAAGGCTCCCTCATCAACAGTTGCGATGCGGATACCAACGTGTTTGGCAATGAAAACGTTGATGCACAGTTAACTACAGCTCTTGAGGCTATTCCTACCACTAGTGACAGTACTGGAGAAGCTGAAAGTGAACATACTGAAACCAATGTTAATGCTCAGAAGCCAGGCACACATGAAGCCTCTACCAGCAGCCAGGATGCAGCAACAAACTCGGATGGCAATGGGAATACTAATTCGCAATTGACCAAAACACTTGACTCCATTCTTACCACCAGCAACAGCACTGGGGAAGGTGAAAGCGCTCACCCTGGAACCAATATTCATCCTCAGCAATCCGCAGCTGACAAAGTCCCTACGGAGCATCAAAATGCAAACAGCACCTTGAATGGGAATGAGAATATCAACGAGCAATTGAGATCAATCCTTGATGACTTTTTCGCTACCAACAACGTCCCAACACGAAGCAGCCCAACGACAGACAGCAGCACAATCATTGAAGCAGATTATCATGATTCAGACGTTGAGATGGTGGATGCCTTTAGCCTTGCTGACACTGAAGACGCAACGGAGGATATTACTATGCATGACGTTGAAGTTGCAAGTGTCAATGGCCCTGCCACTCCCAACTCCATTGACAATGAAGGGCAGGAAACCTCGGGCATTGAAGCAGGTGTTTCTACCCAGGCGACTGGAGCAGAGGATAACCCCGGCTTGAACAATGATGCCAATCAGGATGGTGACATTAATGATGATGCAGCTGCGATTACTGCTGATGCCACCAATGTCCCAAACGTCGGGAATGCTGCTCAGGAAAACATTGGGATACGTTCCGAAGCATCTCCTATCCAGGAAGAGGGAGAAGCCACAGAGGAGAATCCCAACTCAGGATCCTCAACCCCTACCACTGCTTCCGGCGCCACCGCAGAGCAAAGCATCATGTCCGAACTCGAATCCACGCACCGCCTCCTAAACTGGGAACGAACCCGCGAAGCATTCCCCGAATACACAAGCGAAGACTTCATGAACCTCCTGGCGCCCTCAATCCAGCCGTCGTCCGACAACGACCCCGTCGCCGAGTTCACCACAATCCTCTCCCAAGGCCTGCTCGGCATCGCAACCGAAGCAGCGCTCGACACACGCGACCAAGCCGCGAACCCCCCCGCATTCCCTCCCAGCACAGTCGGGTACGCCCTCATGATCCCCGCCGACGAAGGCCCGACGCTGACGCGCTTCGACAACATCACGCCCGACGCCGACGACGTCGAGTTCCGCGAGTTCCTGAGCAGCACGTATCCAGCTATCAACTGGGGCCGGCTGAACACGTTGAACAGTAGCCAGATGGAGATTGAGCCTTGGGAGCACTTCATTGAGTATGTTGCGCTTGCGGGACCGATTGCGCCGAATGAGGCGCCCGAGGTGTTTAATGCTTATGTTGCGCGCGTGGTGAATGCGAGTGTTGACGCTGCGATCATGCTGGGGGATGATTGGCTTTCGAATTTGGTGATGCCGTAGGTGCGTTTCCTATTTCTAGATGGGACTGAGGCTATTGTACTATGGCACGGCGAGGTGAGTACGATCTCCATGGGCACATCTCGCTTTGGAAGGATTGTGCTGTACCTTGATCTCGCTGGAAGGGTGGACGCCTTATGTGTTGGACATACGGTTGGATAGCACGGGAGAGTATTCTTTTTGACAGACACTTTGGGTATCCTCTTGTTCATTACTAGGCTAGCACTCATGTATCCAGATAGTCATCATAAATCTTTTCTTTTGTCTGTTTTGATCTTCGTTCCTCGTATTGTCGTGATGCAGCAGTCCAGAGATGAGTCGAAGAGACAAGTCAACAACCAGGTTAAGTTCAGTTCCCCAGCGCTGTCTTAAATAGCCACTTTGCAACTGGACATTTCTCCCACAGTCTTATATCTCCCAACTGAATATATCCAAGCTCAGCTGCTCATCAGGACATCCAGTCAATCTTCCAAACTTTCTCTTTATCGACTATCATTAGCAGTAGGATATCTATCACTGCATATGATTAGTTTCTTCTGAGTTGTTGCAGCAAGCCATCATCTTCAATGACTGCAAACTCTCACTTTGGCCTCACTTTAGCGAGGATGCCTAGCCACACAACTTAGACCGGAACCCCTCGCCTAATCCCGATAATCTTCCAGCAACCAACGTCGGTTCCTTATTTAATTCCACCCGTGCGAAAACAGTGCCATTCCAATGGGGGTCCTTGTGGGAGGGTTTGTTTGTAGAAGTGAGGAATTCCCGCGGGCGCCAGATACCTACATGCTTGACGGCACTGTCTTTGACAGAGTTTTAGGTAATATTTAGGCTTACCCTGGTCTGTGTCCAGTTGAAGTCAAGCTGCGCCCAGAGAAGGACATTTTCAACGCTCGTCGATAATCCAAATCTGAGTTGAACCAAGGGAAAGGCCATGTACCGAGCAAGACACCTCGAACCCTAGGTACCCAGAATCTATTCTAAACTTCAGTTTTGGGTTCCCACGTTTTCAGGCTCGTTTTGCCAGTGGGAGGACCAGCCAACCCCGTTCCGCTCCCCCAGTCTTCTCTCACGGTATTCGCTGTGCAGGCCAAATATGATCAAAGATTTGATATCAGGAATCATCCCACGACTAGGTCAGTCTTCGGGCTCAGCAGAAAGACAGCCGTACCGATAGCCGCTTACCTACTCAGTATAGACTCAGGGTCTCAAATGGTATCCCTTGGGGCAACGGGCATATCAAGCGGAAATGCCGGGAAACGCGCAGGTATCAGTTCGAGGTACCGTCGCTGACCCGGCGGCCCCTTGGGTATTTGATTTCGAACGGCCCCGCTGGCGTCAAGGCACTTCAGCCGCTTCTCTGCCTCTGAGGAGAGGCCAAAGTGCCTTGAGCATGAAACCCTAAAACCCTAAGGGATATCTCAACCAGACCCGCGTCTCGCCTTCTCCGTGATGACCTACAGACAGAATGGGCTTTCCATTCACCGTCGCCACAGGAAAGCTCCTGATCTCCTCATCCTCCTCAAACACCGCCTTAATGCGAGTATATAAAGTCATCTTCTGCCTCAACTAATCTTCCTCCCACACCCATCCCTCTCATCTAAACTCAAGTTTACCACGGAAATCTGAGAGCGAGAACATACAGAACAAGCTTCGACCCTCAACGCTCTGCCATGTCTCCCCCGATCCGCGAGCTCAAGGTCTCGCACCCAGCGGCCTTACTCGCCAACCGCATATCCATGCACTTAGCAACTCAAACCCTTACTGACGCCGAGTCGACCCCCTGGCTCTCGAAACACGCCCAGCTCGCCCACCGCCATATCCACCTCGCGCAGAACCTCCTGCAACTCGGCGGCGTGGAGGACAGCCTAGACGGGTTCGCGCTGCGGGATGCCAACCCCGAGAACGACGACCAGCTAGACGGCTCAACGACCGGAGTATTCAAGCAGGGGCGGCTTGTATGGGAGGCATTCAACGACTGGCTGCGTGCCATGTATTGGGTGTTTGACGAAACCGATGGAGAATTCGCAGTGGGTGTCGGACAAGAACGCGAGGACGAAGAGGCGGGTATACTTGTTTTCCGGCCCAGGATCTATCTACCGTTGGACGAAGTTGATACCTCGTACCTGCGCTCCAGTCTCTACGATTTGCAAAGGGAGATGGCGGGCACACTTAAGGTCTTGGCTCATCTCGCTCAAGGACAGGCGGATGGTCGCGAAGAAGAGTACACTTACAAGAACCGCCAGGCGCTCAGGGGGCACATTGAACAGGCCTACGATGCAGTCATGTATTTGCGGATGGTCAAGGATTGGGTTACAAAGGCCTTCCACGAGGATGAGAATGAGTCTCGGGTTGCGGAAGAGGCTTCGCAGAGCGCCGGCGAGAACGCACCTGCAGATAACGACACCGAGTCCGAGTCTGAGTCTGATGATGAAAACGCCTCCGGTGCGCCTATCAACCGAATAGTCTGGACGCCGAAAGACTCCATCGAGGAAACAGCCTTCAGGGCCCTCTTCCGCGCGAAGTTGCGACTGGCGCTTAACCAAATCATGAACCTTCCTCTCCTCCACACGACTACCACGACGCAGAGAGACGAGCACAACGTCGCCGAGGGATTCCCAGGCCTCGAGAGCAGCGAGGATACAGATTCCATCCTCAAACTCATGTCAACATACCCCCAAGCGACATGGCGCCAAATCAACGAAGCCCTCGGCGCCTGGACGCGCTCTCAATGGGAGGAGTTTGAGTGGGCACTGAGCTACGGCAAAGCCGACGCAGAAGACTCCACCGTGCGCGGTATCATCGTCGAAGAGACACTGAATGTCGTATGCCAGGAAATCCTCTTCCGACGCGCGATCGCGGCCGCGATTGCGCAGGCAAAGACCCTTATCAAAGATCACGGACCGTACCGACGCGCCAGGGCGCAGGCGACTGCCCACCTGCAGGCTAGGACGCTAAGCAAAGAGGACAGGGAGTACCATAACGCCGAAACAAAGGCCCGTGTGCGCGAGCAGATCTTCGGAAATCCTGCAACTCGTCGGCGGTATATTGAGAAGTACGCGGGCGCCGATGACCTTGAACCCTGGACTGAGCGCGAGGAGAAGGCGCGCATGGCGAAGAAGAGGAAGCTTAACGATGGCGCGCTTGTCGAGGCTGAAGCTCGGATTCGGCGGATGGAGTTCAACGAGCGTCTTGAGGGGGTTTCGGAGGAGAGGACCAAACAGCTGGAGCTTCGACTGGGACTTGACTCTGTGTTGGAGGAAGTCGCTGTGCTGGATGATGATGGCGCGCTGCAGGTGGAGGAAGATGACGCTGGGCTGGGGTGGGAGGAGGATAGAAGACGGACAAGAAGGTTGTTCATGGCCTTCATGAAACGGGCATTTATGAGGGTTCTCTTCTTCGATAATTAGTCCGCTTGATGGATTCTCATGACTGCCTATCTGTACTCAATCTCGCAGCACACTTCTTGGTCTTGGTTTAGCGTGTCAAGCCGTTGGTTGTGCCGTGTACATGCCATAGCATGTTAGGTTAAAGGCTCGATTCACTAGAGTACATTTCAACAAGCGGGAATACTCAAGACTACCATACCATAGACAATAACTCATTATCAGATTGGATGGAAACCGGGATGGAACAGAAGCGGTTTAGATTAGCTAGTTACCGCGATTTGCGAACAAAGCTCATGTACCTAGAAAGCTAGTCTTTGTTTTTATCTACCATTTTTTCTCCAGAATTTCTATCCACTTCCACAGTAAAGGGCTTTTAGTTCAGAAAATATTCGTTGCCGTAGCTTCTCCGTATTGGGGCTTAATCTAGCTTGAGTGCTCCTGATATGGATAATTCTTCCACGAGTTTCAACCTTTGTATTTCTTTGATGGGTTGCATAACTGCTTTAATGAGCTCAGAAAGTCTAGTGGGCTCGGATAAAGAGTTGTAAATTGCTGCACTGCTTGTGCTTCTTTAGGAGAGTGAATGGGCCATATATGGCTTACCCATTCACTAAATCCTCTTTGCACATATCATGATTCAAACAGGCAGTCCTCACCGTCAAACGCTCTTTTACTTTCCACTCTAGCTTTTTAACTAAAACCTCATTCCTACACCTTGATCATTTCTCGAATGTCCTAGTTCAACATCATACCAACCTACCCCAACCTCTAGAAAACCTCAAACCATGTGTCCCCCGAATATGGGAATCCCACCGGGGAGACAAGCGCAGATACTCGCAGCCCACGTTAGACTACAGCTGCAGGTCGCGAGAGAATCCTTCGCACCCGCCCCCAAGCTCTCTGAGGTTCCACAAAATATCACACACTTAATGCATATGTTCACAAGCATTGTTACCTCAGGGGAGTTCGATCGAGCCTTCGAACGCTTCGGAATCACGGAGCAGGAGGCCAACGATCACCCTGTTCCAAACCCCGCCCGAATCCTCCTGCGGTTCGAGAAGTTTTACGAGTGGGTGCGTACAATGGGTTGGGCTTGGGTAGATGAGGAGGGGAGTAAGAGTGAGAGCCAGAGCCTGGTTGGAAGTACAACTTCAAACACCGACACTGAGTCCAAAGGTAAACCACCACCTTGCCTTCGAGATCATACCTAGAGAGTGCTTGATGGAACCCACGCTAACGCACAGATATCCACACAGAGACCGAACCCAACGCCTGGACGAAGTCATACAACGCCCCGACCGAAGATCATCTCGAAGTCTTCCATCATAACATGGGCCGGATCCTCGAATACATGATTGAGGCACTGAACAGCCTCGCGACTCTGGCGCAGGCTCAGGCAGACGGGATGGGCGAAGACCATATTGGCGCCGCCGCCGCCCAAATGATCGCCCACTTCCACGACGCGTATCGAGTCACGGGGTTCCTGTGGGAGATGGAGAGGTGGTTGAGGTCGCCGCTTGTCCAGCCTGAGAGCACACCTGGACATGATGCAGACGTCGATGACGCGGACGCCGGTGGGACGGGGAACAGTGAGACCGCTACCGAGCCGGCGGACTGGAATGTGGATTCTCCAGGCGCAGAAGACGCAGAAGAGCCTCAGGAGCTGGAGTACCCGGAAACCATCGACTCCGAGCCTGAAACCATTCCGTCCGAGCGCCCGGCAGCGTTAGCACCCAGCGAACCCACCATCCAACCCCCCACCCCCCAAACCCAACCCATCCCCCTCCAGCGCCCCAATCCCCGTCCCCGCACTCTGTGGCCAGTCATCATGGACCCACCCCTCGTGGAAGGAAACATGTTCGAGGACGCCAATGAACGGTACGTACTGAGCCTAATGAGGGCACACCCGGCCATCCACTGGGGGCGCGTGTTTGTGGCCGTTGGCGTGGCATTCTTCCACAAGGAGAACTGGGCTCCGTGGGTCAGGCGCAAGAGGGAGTTCGTTCCGCCGCACGGAAGCCCCGCGATGCTGAATATGGTTGTTTACAATCTGTTGAATTTTCGCGCTGATGATGTGTTGCGTGCGGGGGGATGGCGCATCGCAGGTTAGGGTTTGGATTCTGGCTTGGATGGAATTGGACTGGCCCGTCGGCTGGAACATTGGGCGCTTGGTATGTGATTATTCTCTCTCTTGGTGTGGAGGTCGCTAACGCTCTTGCAGTTCGTTATTTCCCTTCATATCTATTGTATTTATTCATTCTCTGTTGCGTCTATGGGTCCAGTCTTGTTTCACCAGGGTGCTTTTGGAAACACGAACATCACCTTGCCGAAGACTTGAACAACATCTTTTACGCTAAGATCAATTGGGACCTGGTGTACAATCATGCATATTTGTACATGCAGTTGATTGGATATTTGTTGTCCGAGCCCTTTGGAAAGCAAAACGAGAAGTCTTTAGCATGTATTCTTTTAGTTCATGTTATGTTCACAATTTCGCTCAGTACCCAGGGTAGCTAGCCACTACATTCTCCAATTACATATCTCTTTCAAGGTTTATCCCGTCTGGCTCAAGCCCTTCCAGCATGAATGCCTCCACGTGCTGAGAGAGTCCTGCGTCTGCCGGCCGGAGGCTCCGCGGTGGTTGCATTGCTTCGTCGTTTGTAGTCGTAGTGTATGGATAGATGGAGCATGGTAAAGAGCATTAAGCAGCGGTACTCTCGGCTCTACAATGTATATCTGTTGGGGATTAGGGGCTTTCAAAAGCGTCTATAATGCCCGCTTGGATACCGCGTTTTCGACATGCGTGTAACCGGTGTCATTGTAATCCAATAGTTCTTGTTTCCTATACCCCTTACTCAACTGTTACGGGGAGCGGAAGAAGCAGTAGACGCAGAGGATGCAGGGGTTCTTAGTACAAATGATCGCCGGTGCTAGGGCAGACCCTCATGCGGACAGGGAGCGAAGCCGCTGTCTTCGAGCTATCCCACTTCCACCTAAATCAGTAGACCAGCTCTCCCACTGAAGGTCAATCTGCTCTAACGCTATCAAGGCCATAGCACTGTGCAGCCCGTCGAATCTTGTCGGAGTCTCTTGCTTGACCGGCCCGGGCGTCTCTCCCTTACTCCTGATCTCTCTCTAGGACCATGACGTCGCTTACTCTTCGCCCCTCATTCACTCCCGGGGCAGATTCTAGGGTTAGTGCCTGTATACAACTCCACACATCGCATTGGGCCGAGCTGGTTGGCTGGTTGGGACGTCGAACCAGACTCCAAGATGAGCAGATATAGCTTCAGCTTCACGTCAAGCGGCTTCATTCACTGCCGTAGTGTCTCATTGATGCCTTCTCCTAGCCTGGTAGACCGCAGAACGTCAATGATCCCTTCTATATCTCCAGGTCGTTCCAATCTCTCCGAGCTTCCATTTCTTCCTTTTACAACTATTCTTCCTCCATCATTCTCCTCCATTATACTCTATTGTACCTTTGGATTCCATTTTTGCATCTACATCATTACAATACTCCTACTACTTCGCCAAAATGGGCATCCCCCTCCACGTCCCCAACCGCAACAGCGTCTCCTACAAAGTCGAGCACCTCATCCAAGAAGTCAAAGACCGCTTCACCGACAACTCCAACCCCTGCGTCCTCACGCTCGGCTTCTCAATCGAATACCTCATGAAATCAACCGTGAGCATGATGTCGTCCGGCCCCAACAGCGTCCCCACAATCTACATCGCCGCCTCAGTCTACAAGGACTTCGAGCGTTTCTACAAATGGCTGCATGCCGCAGGGCTGAATACCACCCGCCGCGTCAACCGCAGAAGTGTCCCCTACCACCTAAGCCCACTGGCGTCCCTAGAACCAGCAGAACTCAGCACGAACTTTAGGGCAGCTGATGCGGCGGCCGTGGTCGTTGGACTGAGGTGGCAGATGCAGAATGGCCATCCGCCTGCCACGCAGCTTGTTGAGCTTGGCGACAAGGGCATGGCCGAGATCCGCGCTGAGATGTGGAAGCTGCAGCGGCAGATGTTCAAGGTCGTCGACGTGATGATTCGGCTTGCGCAGGGGGCTGAGAATGGCAAAGGACAGGAGTACATGGAGCGGATCTGCCCTTCGTATCTGGGACCGGCCCTGGGGAACGCCAATACCACGATCCATAACCTCTGGGTGTGCGCAGAGCAGGCAGGGCTTTCGGAGGATTCCGTCCAGGGTCTCGATGTCCTTTCTATCCCGGAGACTGACGCGGAAAGCGAGGGTGAGAGCGAGAGCGACGAGGACGACGGGGCTCAAGTTCAAGCTGGAGTTGACGAGGACGGCGATTACGAGGTTGAAGAAGACTCTGACGACGGAGGCTATCAGGCGTTCCAGCACGCAATCCCGAACTACATTGCTGAGTTCGCTGGGCATACGCTCAACCCTCTGGACGCTCAAGCTCAAGCTGAAGCCAACGCCAACCCCCTCGCATTCGCCGCCGACGTCAACCACAACCAAAACATCACCTCCCACCTCGACATCCACCCTCCCAGCGCCCTCGGCCCTAACAACCCCGCAGCCGCCAACGAGCAAGTCGACGAAACCCGCTTCAACACCGTGCTCCAAACACACCTGACCCGAATCGAGAACACGCTCCGCCCATTCATCGAAGCGAACCTCACCGAGGCCCTGCAGTACATCGCGCAAAACCGCGGGATCGAGTACCTTGAGAACATTCTACCGTCTGGAGAAGGACATGCGGAGGGTGACGCCCACGGCGGCTTCATCGCCGATGGTATCTTGTTGATGTATGCAGAGTTCTCGCATCCGGCGGATACGACGTTTAGGGTTCTGCGCCAGCATTTTAGGGCTTTGGGGGTCTGGCGCGATTAGATGTCTCACGTTTTTGTTATTTGTTTTTTCTTTTCATCAGCTTTTTTTCGTTTTCAGTGTAGCATGCTGGTCTGCTGAAGTCTGAGCACTCTGTATGACTTGGCGTACCTATTGGTCTATCTTAGGGCGTCTGGATAGATACGCGGACAGGCATCGGGCATTTTTGTCATTGGCAACTCAAACAAGACCTTGTTGGCCAGTGTTTTCTTTTCTTTTCTTTTCTTTCGCGATCATCAGGAACACAATATGTATCCGTCAACATTTAGTTGAATCAAACTGTGATCATTCTATTCAAATCATTCTCGAAACGGCACGTCTACAGTACAACTAAGGATACCAGGATATGTCGGCCTATAATTTAGCTCGCGAGAAGTATGGATTCTAAATCTTGAACAGACGTGGGTTGTATAGCTGAGGTCCAACTATATATCTAAGTTACGTAGAGGATGAGCGGCTAGAATTACAATCGACTCCTTAAAGAAACGCTTTATCACATGAGGTCCAGAAGCGCTTGCATTTTAAATATCTCAAGGCCATGAAAAGCCATCCCATAGAGCCTTTCGGGGCGTTACGATCACGGTTGTTGTTAGAATGACGGCCTAAAGGCTTCATTGTTATCAGGCCCGCCAACGCGATTAGATTTCACTCCATCTCATAACACTTAGGGGATTCCCAGAGCTCAAGGGAGCAAGAGTTGCTTGGAAGTACCATTTTTGCAAGCTATGGCACGTTTGCCGGGCCGATTCAAATTGGTGCTGTTTCCTCCAGGCAGTCCCAAACATGACGGAGCGTAGCTCCCTGTACGTTATCCACCTCAACACAGATTCTGGGCCTTCAGATCCTCATCCAACTACAATCAGTCAGTAAAGCAAAGATCAGCTTTGTGTAGTTTTCAATCCCTCCCCAAACAGCTTTATGGTCTGTGCCTGATGGTAAACCCCCACGTCCGTGACTGGCACATCACCTGGACTTCCAGTCTTGCTGTCAGCCTGCCTTCATTCACAACTCCATTCACTCATGGCTCTTTGGCTCCAGCTGGGATTACCGTTTGCCAGCCTCCGCCAAACAACCTATAAAGGCAACGACTTTCCCCCGGAAATTGATCGCCCATTTCTCATCCCTCTCCATCTTCATCATTACATTTTTTCTCCGCTCATCAAACCAACCTCCAGAACTGTATTCTAATCAACTCTTTTCCGCAAGCCAGCATGGCAACACGTATCAAGGATGCGCTGGCCGCGCATAACCTGACACGCGACGCACTCAATCAGGAGGAATCCATCGAAACCATCTGCACCAGCATCTCCCGCCTCACCATCATCGCCAAAGGAGTTCTCGACGACGACCTGTTCGGGGGTGTGAACCTTGAGAATATATCGCGTAACCCGGGGCTCATGGCTGAGATGTTCGAACGCTTCAAGAAATGGGTCGATGCCATGGGGTTCGATGCCCTCAATTTTGACCACCCGCGCTTAGCCGTTGTGTCGGAGTATGACCAGAAGTACCTCGTCATCTCGCTGAAGAGCATGTACCTCCACATGATGGACGTCGTCGAAGCGCTTATCCTTATTTCCCGCGGCGAGGAAGAACAGCGTGGTCCTGAGTACACTGCGCAGATCTTCAAGGAGGAGATCCAGCCTGCCCTGATGAAAGCGTACGCGATTATTTGGAAACTCGAGGAGTTCGAAGAAAGTCTTCCCAAGCCCCCTCTCACCTCCCAATCTGGACCCCGTCCTGAGCCCGAGAACGAGAAGGGCGTGCTTGTGCCTAATCCAACCGCTGACCCCGAGAAGGAAGCGCGTCTTCGCTCGCTGATCCGCGAAGCTATCTCCGAAGTTGCCGCCAATCTGCCGCAGGATCGCAAGGCGTGGTTTGAAGTGGTTGACTTTGACATGCTGCGCCCTTTCATTTACTCGAACGGGATGGAGTGGGTCGAGGATTACTTCGAGAATACGTACAAGGATGTTCTCAAGACTGCGGTGGAGTGCTTTGGTACAGGTACAGCTGCAGCTAAGGCGACTGGTGGTGCCGGCAATGAGTACATTTATCGGGGTGATGAAATCTCGTCGCCCGACTCCGAATTGACCACGATCGCGGAGACTGAGTTTGACGGCTCTGAGGATGAGGCGGGCAACGACATTTGCGTACCTTCCTGCAGCAAGCCAAATGAGTCCTCGGATGCACAGAACGCAATTAATGTCTCGGACGCTGCGGAAAACAACACCCAGCTCCCGATGACCGTGCCGGAACAGATCAACGCAATAGTTGGCATATTCAGTGAGGCTATGGCAAAAGCCCATCTCATTGCGCCCACAATGCCAAACCACATCATCCTCAACAATGTGGAATACTATCTCCGCAATGCCCCCCGCGCCGTTCACCAGAACAACGGTAACGACGCCATTTCTTCAGCTACTCATGCCTCCTCGGACGACGAGTCAAACTCCGACGATTCAAACACAGAAGACGATGACAACGACTCGGACAAGGAGAATCGCTCTCCCGTGGCGGAGGAGCCCGAGACCACCATCAATGAACAGCCCGTCCCCGATACAGAGTCAGATGTGCTCGCGTACCAGATGGGCCTGTGGTCGGGGATCATTGATTTTGACACCCCCCTCCGTGACCCTCAAACGGGCGCGCTCAACTTGTCCCCAGAAGCCCTTGCAGAAGTCGAGACATTGATGCGATGTGATGCCCGCTGGCTTGGTGCACGTGCCGGCGGTAGCTTCGCGGTCCCTGTGAGCTCTCAAGGCCACGAGGGCAGTGAACACGGCGCCAACGGCATCATCAACAAAGCCCCCGCCGATGAAGGACATCTCCCGACGACCCGCGGCTCGCTGGGCAAGAATCCAGCCTTGGATTCGCTCCTAAAGATCCGAAACGACATCAAGCTCAGTCTGGACGGGATCGTCGACGATGTCTATCGAGTCCTCAATCTCACTCAAGAGCTCGACAACGCTCTCGCTATTTTCGAGGATAGCATTACTGATTCAGCTCCACCTGAAGTCCATGATACCGTTGCTGGACCGTTCACAACTACCGCTGCCACGGTGTCCGAACCTCCCAATGCCCACAAGTATCATCTCCAGGCAGCACGCGAAGCAATCCCCCCATCCGTAGACTCAAATGCCGCGACTGCATCGTCCACGACTACCGAGACTAGGTTGACCGATGCTTCAGATATCCCCGATGAGGATGCCGAGGAAGAAAGCGAGTGCGAAGCCCTTGCCGCGTTTGTGGAGCAGTGGGACGAGCATTCTGAGGCCCCTGACGCGAAGGAGAACGCGACTACGTATGACGATCTATATGATGCCACTGACGACGAGTTGGGCGAGAGTACAGTTGGTGATCTATTTGACCTTTACGATGCATTGTTTGAAGATGAGAGCACTGGCGACGAGGCCGAGACCTCCGGCACTCTCGTGAACTCAACCAGCGCCGACGAAGACGAGGCCTCAACTTCAGTGACCCTGGTGAACGAGTCCACAGGCACCGAACGCACTGACTCTCCCGAGGAGTACGTTATTGTCGAAGACGGGATGGAGCTGGAGCTTCCGAATGGCGTCCGCCCTGGCGATGAATTCCCTCCTGGATTCATCTTCCTTGGTTCTACGCTTGCGGAGGCGATGGAGGCTGTTCGTGGTGAGAGGCTTCGCACTGATCCTGATTTCGATCATCGTTGGTAGAAGGTTTATTGCCTTGCCGGGTGCATCTTGCAGTTGTTCTCTGCATCCTGGATTAAGGTTACTTTGTTGCACGAGGTGTCTGGATACGATACCATATCTTGGATTCGCGTTGGACACTGTCAGCAGGGACGTATTCTCTTTTCATTTTCATGTTTCATTTGTGACTGTCTATCATGCTTTCGTTATCCTTTTCCGGGACTAAATTGTATCGTTGAGATTGATCGAATGGTCATGTATCTACCTAGTAACTGGGTTGGGTGAGCAGCTACAGAGCTCTAGGATACGAATCTCAACTCCCCATAAGATGTTGTTTCTCTTTTCTTTTCTCGAATTCAAGGTAGACGCAACGGTTTTTGCTTTCCATCCAAGGGCTTGGTCAAGTAGATCTCGCGCCGGATGCATCCACCGTTTACGAGAGGGCCTGTTTCTCCAGTTGCGATGTCAACGAATACGGTGGTCGGAGATAGGGCCTAGTGAGCAGTATATCTTTATCCAACTGTCTTGGATCACAATAACACGAGGCGGGGTATTTCTCACCCGAATCCTAGATTTATGGATGGATGGTTCTCGATCGCTCCGTATACGTAGCCAGTGCGCAGGTAGGACAGCAAAACAACCCCATTAGCTCTCTCACCTCCAAGACCCCGTTGACTATTATTCTCGATGTGGATTGCGAACAACATTGAGAGAAATATATTGATGAATCTCGCAAGTTGTCCGGCGACATGGATGGCGATATCCTAACAATCCGGTCAGAGAGCAGCGGAGCTCGGTGCAGACCTGAAGTTCTAGCTAAGTAGCTCACGTTGATTAAAGACGCCGTATCCCTTCTTGGAATACGAAGAACGGGCCTCAAAGGTTGGGTATTTCGCATCCGCGGACGTTGTCCCTGGAACCGGGGTCTCGCGAACCAATCATTCCTGCCACTGGAGGGTTTCAAGACGCCCAAAGTGCGCTGGAGGTCTTACTTTCTGACAAGGCGTATGGATGGCGTTATTTGTGTCCTTTGAATGTAGATGGTGTCCCCGATTGACGCGTGAGCCAGGCGTTCTCCTCGGTAACGACCATCGCTGCCTAATAGATTGATAAATTCTTAACCTTGGGATTCAATTTGAGTTTCCAGCATCTTGGTAATCTTACCTTTGTTGTGACTGCTGTGACAGATTCCAACCTTCAAGTCTGGCGAAGTAATCTCTCAGCGAGAACCGTCGTCGCTGCTTCACTGCCACAGAGGCCCGCTGTCCAAAGGTCCTAGTTAAGCACCGTGAGGCCAACATTGTATGCGGCGTGAATCTCGCAGCAGGACGGGGTTTAGGCGAGAAGGGGTATTTCCTTGGGGCCATAGTATGTAAAAATCGAATTCGCCGATTGATACAAAACGCGGCGGATGAATGGAGGAAGGATCGACGACGAGCTGGAGGGACGGACGGAGGCACGAATCAAAGGAGGAGGCTTAGCACTGTTATTTTCCAACTAGGAGACGTCCTTGTTAGTCCAGTGGTTGTGGTTGAGTAATGATTTCCAAATCATCTGAGGGTTTGTAGGTGTTGGAAGTGTACCTCTGTAACGTGCTCGCTTCGAGCCCTTCCATCCACCTCCTTGTCCATTTCTCAGCTCTCGCTTCTCCGGCTCTCGTTCCTCCCTCACTGACCAAATCTAAGAATGACGGGCAGGCACCATGCACGGCAGATGTAGTAGCAATCTGTAGGTTTGAGCCATCCAGTTCCCAAGTGTCGCCGGGAAGATTACCTGGCAAAGTTGAAGCGCTGCGTTTTTATCAGGGCACGCATTGAACAAGGTACTGACTAGCAATTCATCAGCATTCATCCGGCTGTTTCGGCGAATGGTGCTCTGCCGGAACTTGGTTTGGGAGAAGGGTGCTTTCGGCGGGCTGCAAAAACCGAGCGGTGGCAGATAAGAATCATGCTCATGACAGTTGAATCCCCCATGTTTGAAAGGGAGCAGGAACGATAGCATCTGTAAAAGAAGTTCGGGATGCTCAACCATTATCTGAAGCTTGTTCATGTCGAGATGAGCATGCGGGGCGGAAGACAGGAGAGCGGAATGTCTAAGCCGTCCGGGAAGGAGACACTCACCCTCAACCAACTTGGCCATCATCATTGGCAGACCCGTTGGAATTCGATGATCTCCGTTCAAATCTCCAGGCAATAACTTATTTGAGGATTCGATAGCCTTCGTTTTCATTAATCAGTGGATGGTGCAAAGTCCCTGCTCACAAAGTCACTTAGTCTTGATGGGTCACGATTTCTTCATTTCAACATCCAAGGTCAGTCATCATACATCAATCACAATCTGCATATAGTGAGCCATATGCGGCTATAGGGGGCTTACCTGAAACACAGGACAGATTCAAAATCGCTCCATCACCGATGTATCCAACGAAGCCTGCGATCGCGTCATCTGCTCAGTCATGACTCATCAGACCAGTCCCCTCGCAGAAAAGCTTCAAAGCTTTGCTAAACCCGAGCGCTGACCGTCGCGCGACCTGCACATGTGATGACGACCGAGTGAGAGCTGATTCCACCAACGACGGCTGCTACAAGGCCACGCGGAACCATCCGGAGATACAGGAACATGGATAACTTTGCGCCATGCGGTTGTGCCACAAGGTAAAGGGTCTTTTAGATCTCACAATCATACAAACTCAACTGACATTCTGTTCCATCCAGTATCGTTGTCAAACTCTGATTTGATTATAGTTACCACTTGCGTGTTGACCCCGGCCGAGCACCGCGCATGATACCTAGGGTAGGATCGGTAAGGTACCTCAAAAGATGTATTTTCCCTCGAACTCTTTGATTCATCTCGCGATAAATCTGTGTGGACGACCTTGCATTTCTCGCTGATATTCAACGGCATACAGACTCACCATGACACCTCGAACAACGGTCCTTTACGCGGCAGGCTTACTCCTATCATGGGTGATCCCATCTAACGGCCAAGGTATGCTAAGCCGTTGCTCACACCCAATTAATAGACGACGCTAAATATATAGGGTCCAGATATCAATGAGGCTCTGCTTGAACGCTTCGACATCTTCGCCCAGTACGCCGCGGCCTCCGGCTGCGACCAGAACAACAACTCCACCGATTCGTCGCTCATTACATGCGACTACGGCTGCCCCCTGCTCACATACTACGGTGACACGACTCTGTACGAGTTTCAGAAGTACGTACCGGCCCACGAGACTGATACCCCGACTCAGAACAGCTACTGACCGTATTGAAACCCCAGTCGAGGGCTAGGCGACGTAACCGGATACCTAGCCCTCGACAACTTCCGCAAGCTAATCGTCCTCGTGTTTCGAGGAAGCACATCCAGCCAGAACTGGCGCGCGGACCTCAACTTCCTCGCGTATTGGGATTGGCTTCTCTGTCCGAACTGCTACGTGCACGCCGGGTTCTGGGCCTCGTGGAAATCCGTCGAGGGCGATGTCCTATGGACGATTCGACAAGCGGTGACCCAGTATCCAGATTATCAACTTGTCTTTACAGGCCATAGCCTTGGTGGCGCGGTCGCCACAATGGGCGCGACCCTGGTGCGGAGTCGGGGGTGCTGGGGGGACCGATCGATTGATCTTGTGGGTTCCAACTCCTCCGTCTCTTCATCAGATTCAGGACCTCCGGCGAAGCTAACTTGCTCGCCGACGAATAGTTCACATTTGGCGCCCCCAAAATCGGAAACACTGCGACCGCGCGGCGGACAACCGGGCTCACCCGGCTCTATAGAGCAACGCACAAGAACGACCCTGTACCTAGGCTACCGCCGACATGGGGGTGGCCATACGACTACAGCCAGCCGTCGCCTGAGTACTGGATTCTAGCGGAATCTGGGGATGATGTCACGCTTGATGATGTTATTCACGTCGAGGGCATCAACAGCCAGGGCGGAAACGCTGCTGCAACACCAGGCAACGTTTCGGACCATATGTGGTACTTTAGCTATATGACGGTTTGCGAGGCGCCTTTAGATCAGTGTCATGGGCTGGTAGATTGTATTTTTGGAGGTGGAATCTGGCATTCGAGGGACTAAGGACGGGGAATCGCACCATCCTACGTCGGACTCTAGTGTAGAGCATACTCCCTCTGTAATCAGTAGGTTAGATGTCCTGTGTCGTCTATGTGATGTATTCGTCTTGTAACGTGGATCTGTTGTAGAAATAACCGCGCCTTTGGAGATTACCAATAGGTGGGATCAAGCCATATAGGGAGTAAATGCCGTCCATGGTGTGCTTCACTTGCGTGCAAGCATCTCCAAATCAAGTATCGAATGTTGTTAAAGGGTGCATCTTAGGTAGTAGACCATGGGGGGAAAGTCCAAAGTTTGCACCAGTACTGAATAGCTAGAATCTTTTGCTGCAATGTCAGCGAGCTGCTGCTGATTTTCTATTCTGGATCACTGGATGGAGCTGAAATCACCGGCGCTTATATTATTGCCTAATAACCTGCTTGTGTACCGTATTACTCAAATTGGGCATGTTTCGTCAACCCCCACCCCCAAAACCTTTACCAACGCCTCACCATCCATTAAAGAAGTCGACTCATTCAACAACGTCTCTCCAGCTTACCTTGGGCCCTAGTCCAATCCTTCTTTCTGCCCGACTGCTAAATCCCCTGGTCACATAGCTGATGAGAATCCCGTCATCAAGTTTTAGAACTCCGCAACAAACGACGGGCTTGTCAAACTCGGCAAAATCCACAAAGGCAAGTTTTTTATGTGTCCTTCATCTACTAACCTGGCGGAACCGCAGTGTGATCGCACTATCTTGATTAAGGCAAGGAAGACATCCGAGAGCGTCGGCGCGATCCAAAATGCTGTAGCCACCATCATCGATATCAGCGTGCCAGGACGCAAGGTCGTTATCGAGCCGCACGGACAGGGGCCGTGGTGTCTTGACGTCGTGGCAGAGAGGGTAACAAAGGCCGGGGGGCAGTTATTAGTCTGGCCATGGTGTCGCGAATGGCAAGTTTATGCAGTTGGTTTATTCAAGATAAGATATCTCATCGAACCACATACCGCTACATAACCCGTCTGCGTTGGTTGCGAAGGTAAAGACAGAGTTGAGTGGTGATTGGGACAGTGATGAATGGTTTGGCAGGCGGAAAAAACGGCTCTGTCAACAAGAGAGGCCCCGGACATGTGAGCTTTTGCGTGACAAGTGCAGTCGAGATCTCGAGGAGGTCGGTCGGAGTGAGTCCATACACGTTTCCATTGGGCTCTCAGAACCTGTCAGTCTACTACTCCATCACCGTGCAACTCACTCACCTGTCTGATCTTGCAACCGGGGGGTTACGGAGTTGACTTCCGGTTGTGAAGGCATCGCCTTCGATAGGGCCGGTATCTCAGGCTCCTCGTACGATGCTCCTCCGCAAGTGGTCTCGCTGAAGTTTTCGGAATGGTCGCCATCAGCTGTTTGGTAAGCAGAGTAGATCCCTAAGCCAAGATGGCCTACTGACATTCTGGATTCAGGAGACACTTAAATTCACGCAAGCCATCTCTGATGCAGGTAGATTGATGCCATTCTTCCTCTGCCAGTATGGCATGGCTGGAAACTTCTTCCTCAGTGCTTTCCTCGTGTCCCTGAAGGCCGACTTACCCTAAACTGCGTAATTGGCGGGGATCTTAACGCCACCCACGATACCTTCGAGCCCGAAGCAGATAACCTACACCACGGCAGTAAGATTGCTAGGTAGGCTAGTAATAATAATATTAGCTATATTAATAAGCCAGGCGTGTTTACACACGAAGCCAGCTATATTTTTAACCTAACCTTTTTAAATATTTTTTTTACCTATATGTTAGTAATGCCTAAGTTATATAATAACTTTAATTATTAAACTTTTATTATTATAGTACCAGGGCGCGGGAAAAAAATATTAAAATAATATTATTATAGTATACTAAACCACAAGCTTAAGCGCCTAGCTAGACTTATAAAAAATAAAATAATATTTTTTTTTTAATTTAAAGAACTTAAAAACATAATAATATTAAATTAATATATTAAATTTTTTAATAATATTATTATAAAAGTTATATAAGTAATTAATAAATACCCTAACCTAGGGAGCTATAACACCCCCTAGTAATTAATTAAATATATAAAAAATTATTAAGCCTGGGTAGTAAATCTTACCTTAAAATAAAAAAAGTATTTTTTAGTTATAGTTTATAAAACTAAGCATGTGTATTAAATTAAGATAATTAATAATATTAAAAATAACTAAAAACTATATTAAATAATAATATAATATAAGCTAAAGCCCAGGCTTAAGGCTTTCCTATTATTAATAAATAATAAAGTAATTAAAAACACGCGGGAAAAGGCTAATATCCTATAAAAAATAATACTAAAGTATTTTAATATAAATAATAATTTAAACTTTAATTTTTTAGTACTAGAGCACTAGCAGGGTAATAAATATTTTTATTAGTTAAAAAAAATCTTACTAAAAAAAATTAAAAAAAATATTATTAATATAAGCAGCACCTTTTTTAAAATAAACTAGGTAATAATTTATATTTTAAAGGCTTGCTAAAAATATATTAAACAGGCTATATATAAGTTATATAACTATTATTTTTAGTTAAAATATTTTTTTTTACTATAAAAGCTTGTAAAGGTGGTAATACTTTTAAAAAGTAGTAAAAAAAATAAGTTTTTACTTTAATTTTAATATTTTATAGTGCTACTTTTAGTATTAAAAAAAAAACTTAAATAAATTATAATATATTATATTACTTTTATTATACTAGTATAAGGGGTGCTAAGCCCTTAATAATATAGTATTTTACTTAAATATTTAATTATAAACTTAGTAGCCTTTTTTACTTATAATACAAAAATAACACTTTTATAAAACTAAAAGATTATTATAATTATTATAAATATTTTAGGTACCTTTAATATTATTTTATTATAATACCTATTTTAATAAATAATAAAGTAAGGCTGGCCTTGCGTGCTTTTAACCTTAATTATAAGTTTTTTTAATAAATAAAGCGCAAAGGTACGCCTAAAATTTATTATAATAATAATATATTTAGTATACTATAGTATATTATAAGGCTTACCTTTTTTTTAATATTATTTTTATTATATATAGCTAAACTATTATTAGTAAACTTAATTTTATATTTTAATTATATAAATAATTTTTGCCTTAGCCACGCGAGTAACTTTTTTTATATAAATTATAAATTTTTAATAAAAAATATTTACAGCATGCTAGCCTAAGAAAAATAAAATAAAGTAGCTTTTATACTTAAAAAACTAAAAATATTATATATTATTTAAAAGTAGCATGGTAAATTACCCTTACTAGTAATTAATAATTAGCTAATAATTACCCTTATTATTATAATACTAGGTTAAAAATAGCCTATGCTATATTAACTAGGCGTTTTTTTTAATAAATAACTTTTTTAATATTAATATATTATTAAATAAGTAGCTAAAGCCCGCGTAATAACTTAATATATTTATAATTTAATATATATAATATATAATTTACCTATAAACTTTTTTTATAAAATAATTATTACTTATATTATTTTTAGCCTTTTATATAATATAAAGGCGTGGTATAATAATAAAATTAAGCCTAAAAAGTATATATAAAACCTAAAAGTTAATACTTAACTAGGCTAATATATTAAAATAATTAAAAAAACCCTTGCCCTGGCCGCTTATGGTATACTTTTAATTTTTTAAATAATATTTATAATAACCCTTTTTAAGGATGCTAGGCTTTTTTTTATTATAATAATATTAAAAAAAGTATAACTATAATTTACCCTAAGACTTTAGCTAGTAAACTATTAAAATTTATTAATAATATAAATAATATTATTAAAAATCTTGCGTGGTTAGGGCGCTAGTTTATATTAAAAACTTAAAATAAAGGTATAAATAATAAAAGTATTTTTTTAAAGACTTTTAGGCTAGTTTTAATATACCCTTATTATTTTTAAAAATACTTAAAAAATTTTATTAATAGTAAGGCTAAAAAGCTAGCTATAAAAAAGTTTAAATAATAATAGCAAGTATTACTTAATTTAAAAGTAATAATTTTTAATAATAGGTTTAAATAAATATATTAAGGTATATACTATGTTAGCTATAGCTATATAATATATTATAAATAATACCTTTAAGTATAAAAATTATTAACTATTAACACCTAGTTTTATATTTATAATATTAAGGCTATTAACACGCTTTAAAAATTAAAAGTAATAATTAAAAAACTTTTTAAAGCTTTTATTTACTAGCTTTATATAAATAATACCTTAGTAATTTAATATACACGCAGGTAGTTCTTATTATTTTTTAACTAGGCTTTTTAAGTATTATATTAATTTATAAATTAATATACTATTTACCTGCGGTGGTTTTTTAATTATATAAAAATTAAAAATAATAAGCTAGCTAATAAGCTTATTAATAAAGCAGCCTTTATAAAGGCCTAACCTTTAGTACCTAACTTTCTAAAAATATAGCCTATAATAAGTAAAGTATATAGCCTATATAAGTAAATATACTATATTACTTAAGCTAAATAATAAAAAGGCACTTTTATAAAGTTATTTATATAATATAAGTAATAGCTTATTATAAAGTTAAAGCTTTACTAGGTTAAGTTATTATTAAAGCTAGTATTAAAATAATTAGTTTTATATTATTAACTTATACTTAAGTTTTTATATAAAAACTTTAAATAATATTATAAGTACTTTTAATATAAAAATACTAGGCTTACTTACTTTTATAAAATAAGTAAAAGCCCTAAATACTTAATTTTTTATTATTATTTTAAATAACACTTTTTATAATAGCCCTAGTATTTTATAATATTATTAATAACTAAGGCTAAGGCCTTAAAATACCTTTATAAATTAAAGCCTAAGGGCTTTATATTATTACTTAAAATTATAAATTTTTATAAATTTATTTACTTTTATTAGGGCACCCCACGCCCTAGTATTATTAAAACTACCTAATTTAATATTAAATAATTTTTTTTTTTATTTTATTATATTTTTTTTATTTTTTTTTATTTTAAACACCTTTTTTTAATATAACTAGTTTTAGCTAATATATTTTTTTTATAAAAAGGTAAATTCCTGTAACCCTTTGCAACTAAAGCCTTAAATATATAATAAATAATACCTGCTAATAGCTATATATAAAAATAATATATAAAAAATAGGTACTAGCCTATAAGCTTTAGTAAAAGTTACCCTTTAAAATAAAAAACCTTTTTATATATAAACTATTTAAATAGGCTATTTACCTAGTAGTGGCACGCCCCCATACCCTAAGGGAGGTCTAGAACAGTAGGCGTACGCCTAGCAATCCCCGGGGTGTTAAATATCACTACTACTACTACTACTAAAGGCCGACTTGCCGACTGCTAGAGCAAAAATCGCGGCAAGTTCCTACCACCGAGGGAGTGGGCCTGCCGCACAGCAACGGTGTATGGGTCGGTCTTGCTCTGGTCAGTCACCAGGTCAAGGGCTTCATATATGCGTTTCGAGTCTCTCTTGACAAACTTTTCACCAGCCTCGATCCATTTTACCCAGGCGGATGCGCTCTCCAGTACAGTTTCTCGATCCAATGGTGTATGGCGTGAGCTTTCCCCCTTTTTACTGCGGGCATGTGGTTTGGATGGGCGCTTGCGATGGACCATTTCGGATGTTCGTAGATGAGGGTGTGTGACAAGGCTTTTGGTTGGAAAGGAGGGCTGGATCAGCCACAGCCACAGCCACACTGGAGAACCCCTGCCATCAGGATTCCCCAGCCATTCCCCGTCCTCATTTCTCGCACCTTCTATCCTTCCACGTACGAACCAGCTATCCCGACACCATCGCCAATATACTCTTCAACCTGCTGTGATGTACTCGGTAAACAATTCGAGTCTTTCTGGTGCGAAGAAGCATCTAGCGAGAACCATGTCGTCCCTTGCTCCCGGACATATTCTCCAAGGCGCGTCTTGGGACTACCGAATTCTCAACCCTCTCAACGGAGATAACACGCACACCTCAACCGTCTTAAAAGCTGAAATCATTTCCCGAGGCACTGAGAGAGTATCTAGCGCACCCCAATGGTTTGTTGTGCTGCACCAATCATATCCTGAACCAACACTAACTGTACTACCCAGGGCTGTCATCAAAATAGCTCCGCCTGGCGACGCAAATGCGATGGAGAATATGAACCGCGAGCGTCAGACTTACCGCCTCCCTGGTGTCGCTTCGTCAGAATGCTTCCGGAGAATGTATGATGTGATTGACCCCAGCACTATCGCCCTGGAGTGGATGGACACCACCCTTGCAGAGGTCAAATACAAGCCTGACACGCGCACCTACTTGCTCATCCTGTCCCTTCTCAAAGCAGTACTGGCCAGTTGTATTACCCTGGAGAGCTACAGTTGTGTGAATACAGGTAGAGTACCTCGTCTGAAAGAGTCGGCATCCGCTAATTAACCCAGACTATAAACCAGCCAATATTTTGCTCTCTGGCATCGAAACTGGCCGTATTACTGCTAAAGTGGCAGACCTGGGACTCGGTGAGCAAGCAGCAATACATGGGAAACATTTCATTAATATGCCTAAAGTAGTTCCGATCGGCAATCTGTTCAATGCCCAGCCATATGGCATGCGCGCCCCCGAAGTCTTCCTAGGCCACGCATGCTCCGCGAAGTCGCAGGTCTGGGCAGTCGCCGCGATGCTACTTTGCTGGATAAAACCTGGTGTTTTAGGCGTGTGGGACAGCCCTCATCCCTTGCTCAACGAGGCATGGTCCATGGCAAAGATAAAGCGGCTTTTTCCACTCTGGAATCTTCCAGGTCCTGACAAGGTGGAGCGCCATTCGCTTAAGGCTGCGGTAGAATCTGCCGTCTGTTTAAGTAAGGAAGTGCCAGAGCTACAAGCCATCTCAGCTTTCGACGACGAGTTTCAAAAGGTGGAGATACCGCAGCAGTTAAAGGATATTCTTCGTTTCATGCTGGTAGCCGATCCGTCTAAAAGGCCGTCCGCCTCCTCCGTGTTGGTATCGAGCGAGCTTCAGGCGTTAGCAAACCTTGTAAATATCTGATAAAACCTCGCCAGAGGACCGTATTTTCCATCGTGTAATCTATATACTTCATGAATTTATCTTTTTTCGCGTCCCATGGTCAGGTCACAGGACCCGCTGAGGTACAAGATTGTGTACGAAGCTTACCGTATCAATCACTGGTTCACCGAGGTCGCTTCCTCAGCCTTGTCCGCTTTTCCTTGCACACGACAATCAACAAATCTAACTCATTAACTTTGATCTACTTTCCATCACTCTGTTTGAACAAATACCTACATATCTTCCGCGGACTTCCTTTAGGCTTCAAGCGGTATTGAGAGCCTCGAGGCGATCTGCCTAGTAAAGTATTCGAATATCATCAAGAAACAGGCTCGAGTCCTCTGGTCGTCGCGCAGGATACATCCCGGCGCCGGAGACTTGTCAGCCCACGGCATTTAAGCACTTTTCATGCTTGGTACTCCTCTACTGACAGCTCCTCTCTGTCCACTATAGCTGCGGGTTTGCAAATCACAATGCCGACATCCTCTCCCCCTTTCGAGTCCTTCCCCGTATTACCGAGCGCCTCATGCCCACTCCGCCTTCCTTGGCCTTTCTCCGGTTTCAATGTCTATTCAGTGCATGCCGTCTGCAATTCTCCTCGTTTCTTGAGTCTCCGGGACTCCGCAGCGCGATCGCAGCTCCCCGAGATCACTTTGGGGCGTTGTTGCTCAAAGGCGACCTTCAAGAATTTGGACTCTGCCTTCAGAGATTGGAATATGGAATCAGCGAGTTATTTTACCCGCTGAGCAAGATATTGTTGGCTGTCTACAAGGTTATACGGCATCTTCAGACCGGTACCATCGTGCGGTACTTCCCTACATTCCTTTTCTTCTCGATCAGAGTCTGCCGCTTTTGGAAGAGACAAAGGTCACGCTGATGCCTCTTCAACTCTTGCTCGCGACATTCGCCGATTTCTTTTCTCTCGATGTCAAAACCTTCGACACGAAACGATGGGCTTGGTACAGAGTCTGGGCCAAACACAGCGGCCAGATGAGAAGGCAAAGTATCGGAATGTTCAATACGATTTGGTCCTTTTACTCTGCCCCTAGCTGCGTCGATCGCTACTTCTGGTTACCTCTTCTGCAAGAATTTTAGGTTCGTTCGAGTGTCTTACGGGTGCGTACACCTCGACTCAGTGTCACTCATCCGCAAGTTCAGTCATCCCTCCTATCTTTCGGATCTGGTTCATTCTCCGCGACCTCTCATGGCGCCATTGGTGTGTATCTTCGCAGGCCGCAGCCTAACTTCGCGTTGCGGTTTGGGCCAGAATTATCTCTCTGTCTGGGGCTTCTCTGCAGCATCAAGAGCTCGACGCCGGCATTTGTGGCGCCTTTTTCCTTCTGCTCCCATGCCTAAGTCATAACACTCTGCTGTTTATTATTTGCCGTTTGATCGAGGTGCTATCCCTGACTCTTGACCGCTGTCTAGAAACGGAAGAGCAAAGACAAAGTTATCGAGTAATTAATTGTCGGGATCAGCCTTCAAGGGTTGGAAAAGCAAGTTCATACGCTGGCCGGGGGATTTCTCAGGCCTTCACCCTGTTGCGCTGTCTGCTTGTCATGGGCGTGACCTAGACCATCAGGGCGACGCCCGTTGATGTTTGATGGGCATCGAACCGGACAACAGCACGTGAGTCTCCTGGTACTCGCTCCCCTTCGCATGAAAGCCCAGCTTTACCGCTATGAACTACTCACTATCTTCCATCAGGTATGGCCGCCAGTGTCTCTCATGTCCGCATCCTGGATCCGGGGATAACGAAAAGAAGGCCTAATATCTTATAAGCAGTCATTGGAATCACCACTATTGAAATCATTCCCACCTGGAAACAAGGTCAACTCACGCTCCCTTCGAACCATCCATGCGTTGGCATGGGATGCCTTTCTTCTCCCAAGCCTCCAGTGAAACTGCGAGCCCTCTTACGATTCTATTGCAAGTTTTACACAGTTTTCAACCTCGCTTCGCTTTTACCAAAAGATCTACGCAAGGCGCCTTAATGGGATGAGAACTATAAGGAGTCGCCGAACCCTGAGACAATGACTGGAGGCAATGGCCTTACATGCACACAAAAGTACTGCATCTTTTGAGGGGTTTAACTGCAAAATCTCTAAAGCTAAGAAATGTGCGTCCTTATCCACCCTCAACTGGCTAATTGATTCCAGGAGCTGGCGCCTTGTTCCTCGAACTGGTTCTACCTCCGCGGAGTCCGAGTTCTGCACATGCAACGGGTACTCGTTGCCCTCCTCGGCCTCAAGCTTCGCATGCCTTGAACAGGCCCTGCAGTTTCGAACGAAAATAGGAACCCTCTGATACGAATTCTCCAAAGACTTCCTCGCATTCCTCTCTTGATTCTGTTTTCTCTTTTCGGCTGCTCGGCAACAAGCCCTCTTCGGCCTCCGCGGAATGGGCCTGTTGCTCCAAGGCGACGACAGCGAGGTTTGAGACTCTCGACATCATACTTGATTCCCGATAATATCAATGATCTCCTCTGTCTCAATTATCCTCGATGCTTCGGTCATCCATCGTTGATATGTCGCTCTGTTTACAATTTGTACTCGACCGCGCCGAGCCTCCACGCCCCGAACTATAGACCGCGCGGGCCGCCTCTCATTCGCGGACGCAATCTCCGATGCGGCTCGCTCCGAGGACGGCCACGCGGGATTGTCTTACCCACCGGAACTTTATTTCAACGGCGAGCAGGCGATCTATACGGCGATCTATACAGGGTCCGTTGTCGGCATAATCGCCCGGGCGCACGCCCCAGAAATTTAGAAGCGGTTGCTAGGGAGGGGAATCATCGGAGGCCAACGCGGGTTTAGCAACTTGAATAACACTGCTCCATCGTGCTGTAGTGGTCAAATCACTGTTAGAGCCGTGTTATAAGTCGCGCTCTTAGATTTGTCTTGTTTCAAGGTATTACTTTCTTTAAAATAGCTACATTTCTTACTTCAAACTGTAGACATTGACTGGTCAATTGACATTCATTAATACATACGCATTTGGTTAACAGATTTTGAAGCCAATTTCCTTTAGTCAGATATATATATTCTACGACAATAACACGATGAAAAGGAAAACAAATCCCAATGATATGAGGGAAGACCAGGGGACCTTAAAGGTTCCGAAAGTCATCAAGAGCCTTATAATAATACCTACTCCTGCTACAATGGATGAAGTATATACCCATAACGCAAGTGTGTATGTTTGAGTCTATTGCCTGATGCTCTAATTTTATTTCTACCGAAAGCTTCTCAAAACGGCTTGATGAAAGCCCTTGATCGTATGTTTCTGTGCCCCATGACTTGGAAAACGAGCCTTACCTGAGAGCAGGTTTTGCAATCATGATACTCAGTGGAGCTTGAGGCCTTCCAAACCTACGGGATAGCGGAACCCGTCATTATTTCTTATGTTCCTCCAAACTGTCCGATTGACCGGACAAGGCTTTTGCCAGTAATATTGGACAATTGCGAGCGGTATATGGCGCGGAGGCTCTGAAGGGCTACAGACAATGAACGGGTATACTGGTGGCTTCGAAGAGCTCAAGGGGCCGATCGGAAACCTATGGAAAGCTTGCGCATTAGCCAAAGAAGTCAAGGCGTCGAGGTCCTAAGCTAGTGAAAAACTGCAGCCATCGCTATGATGGCTGCGTTCTAAATACCTGCCTGAAGTACCCGATTGCAGAAAATTACCAAGTGAGCAATGGACGTTGACAGCCTTGAAAAGAGACCGCCGAATTTGACAGCCGTAGAATGCCCACAACAGATGCTTGTAATCAATCATAAGGCTCGTCGAGTATGGTCAGGACAGCAGCGAACTGAGCAAGAGTATCTTACCGAGTTTCTGAAGCTTCGTCGCCAAGGTCCTCGTTCAATCTGATTTTTCTTACCCCTCAGCCAGCAATTCACATTCTGCTCGCAACCTAGCACCATGGAACCCTCTAGACAATGCGTTGAGTCAGAGATAGGCGACTTGGTTTGGAACTGTGCGCAAGGGGGTGCAAGATCCCCACTCAATTTAGTGGCTCACGTCTTGGTTGCTTAATCGTCAGCTGAAGTGACAGAATGAGAGCAACAGGAGCAGCTTCTGCACTCCTAACTGTGGCCCGAGATAAACAACGTGACAACATGAATGTATTAGTGTTCATGACATTCACTTGGGCTCCTGGACTGCTCGAAATCAGCTATATCAAGCCCGTCAACCCCCATCCCCAGAACAGAAGTTTTTTTTTCATCACCTCTCTCCTCTATCATCAACAGCCTCCTTCCCAAGCACCTTTGAACTCAAATTTTCTTCAAAAGGTAAGTTCCCTTCCAGTTGCCTATATCATCGGCAAGTCAGTTAGGCACTGACATTAGTTGCCCTCTCGCAGATTTCCAATCCAACCACACGTTTCTCTTGACATTTTCGTTGAACCGCTTGATCATCGAAGATGTCTGCCTCAGTGCATAAACCTACCGCCAATGAGCAAGAGACCTTCGACCTGGTGACTGACGTCGGCCTCCGCAACAAATTCCTCATGGGACTTGTCGTCGAGAAACTGAAGGCTCAGAAGCTCAACTCCGGCGTTGTCACCGATCACTTTGACCGTTTCGCTCAGTGGTTCAACAAGGCCACGGTCGAGACCGCGAACAAGCCAATGGTCACCACCTGGGTTCAGCGCCTGGAGACTCACCTCGAACGCCTGGACAACAACCTCAACCACTACGAGCACGTCAAGAACGAGGACATCGAGGAGATGCAACGCGCAACCAAGCGCAATCTCGGATCCGTCTTCGTGGTCATCAAGCTTCTCACCAGCTCCAATGCAAATGAGAAACCTACCCAGCCCCAGGGCCAAGGTCAGCTTCAGGACAATCGTCGCGAGCTGGCTGGCAAGTTCTCGAACGACCAGGCGAAGCGGAAGTACGGTGCAGTTGCTTCCCCTAACTTTCACTTCGGCTTCATCGACACTGCGCAGGCATACACAAACTTCCCCGATCGCCACGCCGCTCTGCCCTCGACCGCCGGAAGCCCCTTGAAGCACGAGTGGACCCCGAACTGGGACGCCAAGGGCCACAAGTCATTCAACGAGTATGTCTCAACCATCAACGCCGGCACCGAACGCACCAACCGTTCCAACGAGGACATTCTCCTGGACATGAAGTACCCCGCCATGACCCCGATTGCGAAAGCCAAGGAGCTGAAGCGCCAGGAGGACGATGAGGCCGCTAGAAAAGCCATGTTCGCAAAGGAGGCCAAGATGTATGAGGCTGAGCAGCAGCGCAAAGGTCTTGTTCCGGCTGCGCCTGCCCCTTACTCAGTCAAGAGCATGAAGGCCGCCAAGCAGCTCGGCAGCATCAGCGCACACATTCGCGCCAAGCATGCGGAGGAGGTCAAGGAGCGGGAGCGTGCGGATGAGCTCAAGCGTGCGGCGGCGCTCGAAGCCGATCAGAAGGCTCTGGACGAGAAACGCAAGGCCGAGCTCGCTCAAATCACCGCGGAACACAAGGCCAAGCGCGAGGCATTCATGAAGGCGATCCACGACAAGGCGAACGAGGCGAAGGAGTATGACTTTGTTGAGCCTGGCGAGGCGGACTTTGATGACATCTTTGCTGATTTTGATCGGCTTTCTCTTGCTGATGCGGATGAGGACTGGGTTGATGTTTAGATCATTTCTTCTCTTCCTGTTCTTTCCCACTTTGTGTACCCGACAACTTGTGGTGTCATGTCAGATGAGGGTTCGGTGTTGCACTTGAGCTCTCGAGACACTCTTTTCTTTTGTATCGTCCTTTCATAGTTTCAAATCGCGTTTATGTCCCTTGGCTTAGACCAAGATGGCTGCGGAGTTGGAATAAGGCAATACCGCGGCGTTCTGGATACTTCAGTGTCTTGGGACAAGTTACTTGTTATTCAAACAATCGAGTCCACTTAACTTAGCATTCTCTATAGCGCGTAGCTTCAGGAAATTCAAGTGGCTTCAGGTCGGCGCAGAGCAAAGGAAACAGTGGACCTTATGGTAGCATGCATTGGCTTTCCGCAGCGTAAAGGACACCTACGACACTTTGATTGACACGGAGAACGATTAGACTGAGTTGCTGCATCTCTGATGATGAATAGGTACTATCTGGGCGGTGTGATCGAGGTTCCCTCAGAAATGTGTTCCATCCCCCTCTGCCTTAACCCCTCCCCTTCTCTTCAAACACTCGCCCCTCGAAGACCGACCCATTCCAAGAATTTATTTTTTCATTGACTAACTCATTTTCAAGGACAAACTCAAAGCCACGATAGAAGCTCCTTATTATCGGCCGGCGAGACATTATTTCGCCGCCCCTCGACCTTGACTACGATGATGAAAAACTCCGGACCCGACCAACACACTACCTTACGACTATTAACTTTGACCGGGAATTTGCCGAATACCATGCGGCGAGACAAGTCAACCTCCTGACAGCCCGGTGCAACAAAGAATACTTAAGGCATTACTACGCGGTCTCCGAATAGCGGCAGTCAGAGGAAAAGGTGCAAGCGGACAGAAGTGGGAATCACTCAGGCACTGCATGGACAGTCCTGCGGTCATCGCAGTAAACGCTCTTCTTAGACCCGGATCTACACCCTCATTCCCCAGTGCCCGCCATTGAGCAAAAGGAAGTGGAATAGAAGTCAAGAAGCCCGGGCTTGACCGGTTGGTGTTATCGGGAACTGTCCCTCAACTTTGTCGTTCCCCCATTTCCCAGCATGGTCGAAAACCGACAAAGTCGAGTGACCCAGATCGTGTTCTGCGTGTCTAGATGGACAGCCGCCCAGAACCAAGAGATCGCGCTGGACTGTGTACGATTGAATTGTCCTCCGACGTTGCCGCAGTCATCTCCATAATCGGTCTCCAGTGACAGCACTTCCGACCTCAGGATCACCGAGTAAAGCTTGAGATGAGAGCCTCGCCAGGGCTCTGTCAGCCATGGATTTTGATTTGCGGCCAATGCCTTTTGGGAGTACAGAACTCCGGATCTCCCATCTGTCCTGCGCAGTTACCGGCGAAGTGCCGTCTTCAAATGGTTGTTCCTGATGGGATTCTTGACGGCGCAAAAGCTCTCGAATGACGTCGCCGTTCTAGCGAGTCGGGATGGATTGAAAAGAAAAGGGGAATCAGGCGACTTGGTATCGTTGGGTCTCGTTCTGATGGCATCCCATCCAATCTGTCCTCTTTCGCCGCTGACACTCACTTTCTACACGCAGCCTTTTAGATCGAGATGATAAATTCCCTGCCGTGCCTATCCTTCCCTCTTTTGCCCTTGAACCATATGGCGCCTCATCCTTCGTCGCCGGGAACCTTTATCTTGCTGCCTCGAGCGAGTCTAGCCATATGTGAAGGCCTCTGAGTTCACGGACCAAGATAAATCGGGTAAATAGAAGGGCGTTAGATCTGGTAAACGGAGCCGGATATACGTACTCGAGGGATTCGATCCCGAATCTCACCATAACTCTGGAAGATTTGACTCTCACAGAGTGAGCGACACATCGACCCGAACGATTCCATTCTATCCACCTTGTACTGAGACTTGCGTCAGGGTTTAAAAGCTCCTACTAAGCACGAGAAAGAGGACCGAACAGCAAGTAAAGTGGATGGGTGAGGCCGATATGGAGAAGACAAAGGCTACACCGGCGAGAAACGCGATCGAATTCATAATTCCAGAGCAGGCCGAGGACACCTCAGGTTCTGGATAAGGAAATCCATGCACGGGTAGTTCAAACGTTTGCGAATGGTCTGGGCGAAGAAACGGGACGTGATAGCGACCATAGATATTTTAAAGGGGTAGTTCGGGGCTGTGTCGATGGTCTAGCATGCAGACTCCATATCGAGATGTTGACCGTTGACTTGACACGAGAATGAGAATAAGGGCGAAATAATAAAAAATAGAATACCGGGGTCAGTTCTAATCAAGACCTATTGCTAATGCTAATCTCTCATTGGATTTTCTTTCAAGTCCTGCCTGGTAGCTTATATCCCTATAATTTCACCCAAAACACCAAAGCCCAGGTATCCATGTAAATCTAATCCCAATTCCTTTCCAAAACACCTAAAGTAAATAGCCGATTGTATTCCCTTGAACCTCAAACCAAACATCTGCAAAACAGCGCAGTTATCCAAAGGCCCAATTCTAAACAGGCACCCACTGCTCGAACGCATCCATCTCCGTAACAAGAACTTCCTCCTCAAGCTCGGTCGCGACCGACGCAACATCGAAGAACTCCTCATCTTCATCATCTTTGTCATCATCATCATCACCAAATCGCCACGTCACGACCTTATCAATGGCAATAGAAACCTCTCTGATAGAAAACTCCATGTGCGTTTTTAACTTTTCAAACGGCACGCCACTCTCCAGCGAGACCAGCTCGGTTACCATTCGGATCACCCTATCCTCGAGGCGCTGCAGGTGATGGATAAAGTACCGCTCCTCGCCTGTTTCCAAGGCTCTCTGTAAATTCTTCCCGCGTCTCGAGAGACGGTAGGATGTATTGTATTCATGATCCGTTGTGGTGTTAGCCGCTTCATGCAGACCCACCATGAACCCCCATTCCTCAAAGCGATGGAAGTCTTTCGTGATGGAGTCAACATCAAAGGGGATTTTCTCTTTGTTGTGGTCATACATCGCCTCCGCGCCCTTCATAAGCGACTTGATGCGAATTCCTTGTTCAATGGTCACAGCGACATCATGGTCGCCCGGAATTGTTGCGCACAGTGGGCCTTTGATCTCATACCGCGGCTGCGGCGTATGGTACGAGGGTATGGGTATGGGTATGATCGAGCGAAGCGTCGAAAAGAGCTTTCCCGGTATCGCGGCGACGGTCTGCGTGAGGGTTTTGGTTGAGCATCCGGATGATGGGACGTTCGAGGTCACCATCGAGTGGAGCTTTGAGAAGAGGGAGGCAGGCATTTTTGCGTGTTCGCGGGGGATCGAGGGTTTGGAGGAGGGAGGACGGTGTGCGCGTTGACGGTTCGGTTTGGTTTCGAGGCTGGCTTGTTCTCTCGGCGGTGAGCTGTAAGCTTCTAAGCGCTGAAGAAAGTAGTGTCAGAAGAGGCAAAGGAATTGATTTGGATGGAAGTTTTGTACTCGATTTGATAGTAGGTGGTCGCAGGGATGAAGCAGAGATGGTTGAGGAAGGGAAAGCTGAAAATTGAAAACGTCGCGATGGAAAGGAGTGTTTAGAAGGTGAGGAGCGGTGAGGCTTTAGCTATTCTGCACTCCGAATGACTCTCATAAATTGAAGTTGGCCTTGTGAATACTGGTGCACTGAGAGATGTCCAGGATAGTGAAGAGGTTTATGGAAGCTCGGGAGTCAAGATAGCTTCCAGACAGCGGTGGCCAAGGCATCAGCATCTCTACCTTCTCGCGTGCGTTCAAAGGGGTATGTCTGCTCTGATGTCCAAGATGATAGAAAAAATAAAAAGGCTCCTGTCAAGTAAAGGTTGTAGGAGAGCCAGGATGGCTGACTTGAGCGAGACTTGTGTTGCTACCATGACATAAGGATTCACTGTGCATTGGAGAATTCTCAGCATGCACCCTGCCTGGTACCAGCATATAATAACTCCATTAAGCTGATGAAACCTGTTTCCTAAGGGCCAAATGAAATGTGTACTGACAGAAATGCTGAACTGGCACAAGAACGGCTTCCCTCGCGACGCTCGTGGAATGAAGCGTGCTGTTGCCTCCAGGCACTGAGGGACAACTCACTGTCAAGACTGTCTAGTGTTCCAATAGTAGAACCTGAAAGTGATCTGGAGTATTTAGGGCGATTCTAGACTTCCAAGGCGATGCGCATAGTCGCTCGCGGGACAGCAGGCAAAGAGGCCGTTCTGATATCTTCAGCAGTGCCTCTTCATTCGCGCATGTACAGGGCAAGGACGGATACCGCTGCCTTGTCAAAGCTATCAACATGTCTCCAAGCTCTTGTACTAAGTGAAATAAAATCTATTCTTGCCGTACTTTGCCCTCTGGATCTGGTGCATGGTGGTCGGCGTGTCCGCAAAACGTAGTGCGTACATTTGGCTTATCCTGAGATCGCGATAAGCCGAAATTCAGATCGCCCATATTAATGACTAGCGAGGCTGGAAAATCAAAGTTCGCCGTTATCAGCCCCGTGCTGGGGGTACGGCCAGCTCCGATATCCCCACGCTGCCTTCTTATCGCCACGTGACTGGCTGGCGACTCTCTGACTCTGCATTTTTCTCGGCACGCAGCAACAACCCTACATGGGCAGGCTGTGCTCATATTCTGACTATTTTGAGGGACATGCACATGGAGCTGCAATTGGCTACCTTTCTTGCTCTCCTGAAACGCCAACTATCAGTTCTCCAGGGTCCATTCCAATCCGTCGTTGCTCTGCACTCGGTGCGCTCTGAATTTCCCCGCAAAAGTCAACCCGCCCGCTGCAAACACAAGCGCGAAAGAGGCATCAAACGGCCGCAACGTATTCTCCTATTCCAATTCCCACCTCCAACACCTTCCCCTTGCTCAGCGAACGTATCTCGCCCATTTCGGAGAGGCCCGACCCCCCCGCTACCGCGCCGACCATTCAAGCGCCTCCAGCACCCCGATCGATCCCCTCTCATCATGATTCCCTTTGCGGCCCGCGAAGCGCCCAGATCTGTCGCTGTCAGGTATAGACCTTCCAGCGCCATCTCCCGATTTGCGTGACCAGCTCGAAACTGCGAGTTCTGACTGTCTCTCAAGCTTAGTGTGCAGTCGGGGTACGGAGAGATGGTGACTTCGCGACTTCGTCCGCTGCGCGCTGCATTATATGCGCAGCCGTCCCTTAGGTTCTGTCAATCACTACCTCCTTTGCGCTTGTGGAAAACGCACTGCCGCCTATTGTCCGTCGGGGTTGCAGCAACCCAAACATTCAGCGCCGCGATGCACTCAGACCTTGCGACGCTGCCGCGAACGTTCGGAATGGTTAACGCCGCAGAAATAGATCAAGGGTCTTCCGGTGGCCTGCCGTTGGATTTCCACGATGAAGGCCACCACCTGCGAGTCTAAAGCACGGTTCGGCCTCCCACCGTTCTACGCCGGCTGCATAGTCAAGGTAAGTAATGTACTGGCCAAGATTCAATGCGATTTCGCTGCCAATTTCGCTGCCAATTTCGCTGCCAATTTCCCTGGGTAGTTTACCTAGCCTCAAGGTACGGAAAGCGAGCTAATCTTCTCTGTTTGCCGTCTTTTGAGATCCCAGAGCCCCCGAGCATCTTCGCCTTTTTCGCCTACTGTCCTAGCTCCGCGCAGTGGTCTGCGATTCAACTTTGCCGCGCGCGGCTTTCCCGGCTGATCTGAGATGAATGTTACATCTTATTGACCCCTCTAAATGGCGAAGCTATGCTAACGCTTTTGGTCTGCTTCCAGGTATCTATTCGCTGTTTGATCCTGCGATTCACGTACGGCCAAATATCCCTCTGCTCAAGTGCCCTGGCATTACAACGATCATTTTTCCCTGCGTTACCTTCTGAACCTCTTGCGTCCGTGGAAGCGTCACTGGCTTATCCCTTTTCCGCATTCTTCTCATCGCACCCGCCAAACACGCGGAGCTCAAACCCTTTAGTGAGTAAGGTACCTCTTGTCGGATTCAACTCTCCCCAATCTCAGGGCTCAAGATGACGTTCTTTCTCTCTCCCTAGATCTTGAGGGCCGATGAAGCACCTGCGTTCCTGTTTCTATCCCTCCCAACTAAATGGAACAACGTCTGATCCAAACCTCTCCCCACTCCCTGGAATGACTGCCCGGTCAGAGCTTCTGAAGCCGTCAGAGGTCCACGTCTGAGTTTGCCTACCCTACCGCGGAGAACCTCAGTACTCGCTGGCATATCGATCATACAAGGAGTTCTGGAAAGCGGAGAGGTGCGATGAATTGATAAGGATCGGGGCTTTTTGGACCAGGGAGCGAGGTGGAATCCGCAGAGAGCGGCTACCTTGCTTTGGTTCGCGTTAAGGGAGAAGAATTTATTCATTTTTAATTTGGTGGTCTACTTAAATCGGCGAATTTCCTATTACCTCTTTGGTAGATACTAGACGCTGAAGCCTTGGTTTGAAGACTTGAGTTCTTTTACGGCCTACTCTACGCGGGTGGGGTATAGGGATTTCAAGGGGGCAAAATTTCCTCAACGCTTGAGGCTTATCAAGACACTCCGCTACGGCCCTGGTGAGTCTGGGTTAACTTGGACATGATTCGCGTGTACTTAGCAATTGGTGAGAACTGCAAGATGCATCCCTAAGTCAGCTTTCACTGTCAGAGCCGTCAAGTCTACTCGTGCGGATGATTCCCAGGAGTCAATCTCCTCCTGATGCGGGGTGCGCGTCCATCTGGTGGCAGCACCGAAAGATCTAACGTTGCGCGCAGGACAAGAAGAGTGCTTAAACGAGCGCCGAACACGATGCCAATGTCTCAAAGCACTGTCAGCGTCAGTGAAGGCGCGTCTAGCATTCGGCTGCGAATGATGGCTACAGCGGGGGGAAATTTCTGGCAGATCTGGCGAAGTGAGGGGGCACTACGAGCATCTACTGAGGTTGGTTGAGAAGGATTATCTACGCCAGACTAAACAGGCTATCGTCAGCGGAAAAAGCGACGAAGATGTCTTTTGTGAGGAAGCTACGTAGATCACCCCTCCGCCGAATCCGACCCCGGGATCCCCAGCGCGCGCGACTGTCTGAGATCACGCCGCCTCTGCCCCTCTTCGCGCACAAAGCCAATGACCAGCTGAGATCAGGAAAACACGCGAAATGTGCTCACTGAGCGCGTTGCGCGGAAATAGGTTGCGGGTGGGCCAGCTCGCGCTGTGATTGGCCAGAATCGAGGAAGGCGCCCAGTCCAGTCACTCTCCTTCACTCGAAGTGTTACTCCCCCAGGCTGCTCCCAGACTCCTCCCAGACTTTTCGCCCCCAGTATTTAATCGCCCACTTTGTCCGAACACTTCGTTCTCTTCCCTTTCCCCTCCACCGATCGGTACCTCTTTATTTCGCTCCCTGCTGTCCTAACAGACATCCTTCAGCTTCTGCTATCTATCTCTTTCCCTCAAAGCCTTTTTCGTGCAAAGTGTTCTTCCTTGCGAATACCTGTATTCAAAATGGAGAACTCCAAGCACCTTCTTCCCCGTGCAATGGACATCGCTCAGATGATGGTCCGCTGCATCGTCCTGCTCAACATCGTCCACGCCTACAGCACTTTCTCCAACGTCGAAGAGTTCTTCACCCTGTACAAGGACTGGCTCAAGATCTTCGCCACTGCCTCCCAATTCCTCATCGACCAGGCTGGACTGACCGTTTTGAACGAATGCATTGATTTGATCTGGACTAACGTTGACTCTCTGCATGCCTACCTCACTGACCTCACCCACAACCCTGGTTCCAGCGCCCGCAACGCCCGAGTGATTATTGCTCGGATGGACAGTGGCATTCTTCTTAGCATGAGGCGCCTCGCTGATCTGACTGGTCCGGACGGAGACATCTGGAAGCTTTATTGGAGGCGTTCCTACAATCAAGGATCGAATGTGCTCTTCGCGGGCGATGGTTACCAGCACTCTCCGCTTGACGCCATGGCTCGCTTCCAAGGTGCTATGCCTGCGCTTGCATTCAAAGTTAACCTGGCTCGTGACGCTGCTGAAGCAGCTGATGACAAGCCGGGCAATGACTCTACGAATAGCGACACTATTCTCATTGACTCGGACATTGGTAAGTCTCGCCATTCTCGCCGCTCGGGAGATCCAGATAGCTGACCATCTCCAGATGAAGACACTCCTAACACTTCGGTGGAGATTACTGATCACACCATGTCCGACGACAAAGATGAGAACACTCCTGTCACCATCAAGGCTGAGTTCGGTATGTCTCGCCATCCTCGCCGCTCGGGAGATCCAGATGACTGACTATGTCGCAGAAGAGGACACTCCTAACACTTCGGTGGAAATCACTGATGACCCCATGTCCGACGATAACGATGAGAGCACTCCTGTCACAATTAAGGTTGAGTTCGGTTTGTCTCGCCATGCTCGCCGCTCGGGAGATCCAGATGACTGACTATGTCGCAGACGAGGACACTCCTAACACTCCGGTGGAAATCACTGATGACCCCATGTCCGACGACAAAAATGAGAACACTCCTGTCAGAATCAAGTCGGAGTTTGGTACGTCTAACGCGAAGCTTTCCTGAACTAGATTACAATGATGGTAACTGACGAAGGTATTGGATCAGAACGCGACGAACCTGCCCCTTCTCCCTCGTCGACCTCCTCGCATACTGCAGAGGAAGCCGACGATGAGTTGTCCGACTACGCCTCGGACTACAACCCACCCGCACCCGCCCGCACAAGTGCCCTAGATGAGTTCATTCGAGGTCTTGGTCCGAGAATCCCCACCACTCGCTGGGTGGCCGCGGAACACAACAACCAGCAAGTCGCCGATCCAGGTTTCGATGCAATGTCGGACCGAAGCAAAGACTCGGATGGTGACTCATGGATCGCCCACATGGAAACTGTTCATATCCGCGAAGGCAACAGACTGATCTACGGCGATATGGCGGATTCGTCTTCTGTAGCACGGAACAACCATCCTGCTACCCAGACTGGCGTTGATGGAACCTCCGCCCACATCAACGAAGCAAACCATGACTTCGTGATCTATTCCAACGCGTCCGATGATGGAGTGAACTTTGATCCTCCCCTCTCCTCCCCTCAACCTTCCCCTCAACCGCACGGACAGAAGCGTGAACTCCAACACTTCCTGGATCAGTTTAATACTGTGGACGATCGCAACGTGGCCGCCAAGCACCGAGCCAACACTTCTCCGCATGGAACCCCAGACCCAGACTCCACTGCCGCAGCTGTCGGCTCGGCCCGCCTGCGTCGCTCTTCTTGGCCTCAGCCTCGCCGCACTCCATACCAGGCTGCCCTTTTCCGACGGGCCTTTTCCCGCCGTCGCTCGGTGTCTCCTACATCGGACCAGCCTCTCGCCACTATTGATCTTCCTACTCTTGATCTTACGGCGGCGCCTCAAGTCAGCACCCCCTCGCCCACCTTACAGACGTTTGACTTTAGTGCCACTTCTTCCTCGGTAACCGTTGGCCGCTCCACGTTGCCTGAACTGCATTTGGGAGATTGGCTGAAAGAGTCCGCTTATGAGCCATCTACAGCCCCTGGTTCGCCCACATCGCAGTTAGCTGGACAAATCGACCGATCTGATGAGTCTGTGTCAAGCTCTCACTTTGGTCCGATCTCGGCGACTCCAGAGCGCAATGGCAGCGGCTCAGGAGATGTCGCATCTGACAGCTTCGGTCAGGTTTTGACATCGCTTGGTCTTGATGGTTCTCCTCCGCGTGACTCTTCCTCTTCTCCCCTTCCAAATTTGAACCGGCCTCTCTGGCGCGGGTGCGATCCTGTCTTTCTCAGGTTCGAGAGTCCAGAGCATCGCTCTCCTTCTCCACCTCCAAACGTGAGCCGGCCTCTCTCGCGCGGGTACGATCCTGTCTTTCCCACTTTCGGGACCCCAGAGCCCAATTCCAATGGAGGAGGCATCACTCTACGCGATGTGGACCTCGCACTCTTTCACCGATCCGGTGCGCCGGAACCTGAATCCTCGCGGGCAGTTGAAGGAAATGTTGTCTCCGACGTTGACGTGAGTTTTCTGACCTCGCCGAATCTCATTGCTTCTCCTAACACCCAGTCCCAGCGCATTCTCGGCGAAGTTGCGGATAACTTACAAGCGATAAAGGATCGCAATGATGAGTCTGAATCCACGCAGACAATTGAAGCATATGTATCCGACATTCAGGTGAGTTTTCCAAACTCGTCGAATCTGAATGTTTTTTCTAACATTCAATCGCAGCGTATTCTCAATGAACTTGCGGATAATTTGCAAGCGCTGAAGGATCGTGACCAGGAGGATGGATATGTTGTCCACGATGCTGAGGTGAGTTATCCGACCTCGCCGAGTTTGAATGTTTCTCCTAACACTCAGTCGCAGAGTTTTCTCGATGCAGTTGAGGTTACCCAACGAGTAATCAAAAATCGCGATGCGGTTGAATTTGCCTCCTCTGAGTCAAATGTTGGACCTCTCTCCGGAGATGAAGAGCACGCTGGCCACAAGAGCGCTCTATGCACCGAGCTTTGGGTCGCCGTACAAACGGCTTACACAAACGGGCCAAACAACCAGGACGTGAGTGGTTTTTAGATTCCATCGTTGACCGTTCTTACTAACGATCATTCTCAGCCCGTTCTTCATCAACGTATCGAAGAACTCTCGCGAGCCATTGAGCAGCAAGAGAATGGCCGAGCCACCAGACCGGATACGACTTCTGCGGACGATACAAACCCTAGAGTGACCTCATCTCGTTCTTCTTCTTCTACATCATCCTCGGACAACGATTCCGACAAGGAGAATAATGCGCCTGTCGCAGCGCCTTTTTCGCCCTTGTTTGTCCCTGATGGTGACGAGACCATCTCTCTGCCTTCTACTTCGTCAGCAGCTGCGGACTCAAACAATGAGAACAACGCGCCTGTCGCGGTATCTTCATCACTCTCGCCAGCATTGGATAGCGCTCAACCGAACATCTCACCGGCCGCAAAGCCTTGTCTCCGTCCCACCCGCCCCGTTAAACGTCCGCTCCAGGATATCTGGGACGACGAGTCCGACGCGGACTCAGACTCGGATAGCAACCAGGGCCGAAACGTGACACCCAACCTCTCCCGCAACCGTTCCCCGCGCGGCTCCATCAATGCCGGACATGCGGGTTTAGCGCGTCCTCTTTCAGAAATACGCCGTGATTCGTCTTCCTCTCCCAAGCGCACACTTGGAGACGCTTTTGGCTCTGAGGAGCTGGAAGGACAAGGACGAAACGTTTCCCCAAAGAACTTTGAGGACCGTTCACCCCGCGGCACTGATAATTCGGGACACGTTTTGTTCAGCCCAGGTGCTCGTCCCGCTGGCGAATCCGATTTCCCGCTGCCTGAGCACACCGAGGAATTCCGCGCTTCGCCTATCCGACGAACTTTCCGTGCCGAAGCAGTGGAAATCCAGAATGAATACACAGCGGCCGTTCGAAACCGCGAGTTTCCAGATGATGCGCTTGAGCGTGCATTTGTACTGGGGTATTATCAGATGAGGCAAGGATGCCCTCCTCCCGGTAACGTCTTCAGGTTTCAGGAGCTCCAGGACGAGTTTGACAAGGGCCTTCGTGATACTTACAACGCTTCCCCGTCGATGCCGGATTATGAAGTTGATCCTTGGTATGAGAATGTCGGACCGGAGATTGGAGCCCAGATTGGAGCTGAGGGACGGTCCGGTTTGACTTCCGACGACGCAATCACCGTCTCATCCGACGGCGAGTCCTCGGGCAGCGCTCCCTCCGAGAACGGTTCTGCCACTGGGGCTGATCATGGATCTGAAGATGGGTCTAGGTTCGTCATCTATGAGGATGCGAGCCGATCTAGTACCCCGGCAAATGATGCCGGGCCTACTTCCCCTACTTATTCTCCTCCTCGCGCCCCTCTAAATCTCTGGCCGGCCTCTCCACCCCTGGCGGCAGAAGATACGCAGGAGCCCAGCTACGAGGACTCCGAGCACACCGCTCCATCTGGGACCGTCGGTGCCCATCGACAGACAGAGAGTCCCTCCCATCCCCTCGCCTCGAACCCACAACCCCCCGCTCACGGACTCCCTGACATCTTCAGCGGCTTTTTGGACACTAGCATCTTCAGCGGCTTTGTGGTTCAAGTCCAAGACTCCGATTTCGCCTTTGGCTCTTTTGGCCCTGAAGCCCCCGCCGACCCGCGTCTCTACTAGCACACCCAGTCTGCCACGCCTCCCACCAACCGGATAACACTTACTCCACTACCTTTCTCCCAGGAAACCTGAATCCCCTACTACTGACTCCGAGACCAACGAGCTGGACGCGATCCAATAGACAAGGCATGACGGGGACGCCTGTTTATGCCTTTGTCGAATCTCGCTGGGTGCCAAGATGCAGACGGGGACGCCTGTTTGTGTCTTGGTGGCAAGATGCGGACGGGGACGCCCGTCTGTGTCTTGTTCAATACCTGGCGAGAGGTGGCTGCTCACCTCGTTGGACTCGGTAGTTCGGTATAAGGGATTTGGTTCGGCTGGTGGGTACGAATCATACTACGGCTGGGGCGATGGCGATGGCGATGGCGACTGCGGCACTGTATCACAAACACTACGGCTATTTCGTCTTACTCGTTGAACAACTCTTACCTCATCTCATGCGATTAACATGCATCTTTAACTCTTCGTACCTGAAAGCCCAAAAAAACGCAGAAAATGCAAAGCTCCACAAAAAAAACACAACAACTTGCTGGCAAAAAGGGCAACACAACGCATGAATTTCACAGCCCTCTCAAAAAAAACTCGCGAAACCACAAAACGCGCAACAAAAAAAAACATCAAAACGCAAAACAACCCAAAAAAAGTCATTCTTACTCTGCTCTTCTTCAGTCGAGGCGCCTTACTTGTTGGACACCTTGTCGGACATCTCCTCATCTCCGCTCACATTATCCCATCAACGAGCTTCCACTTTTCTCTCTGTCACTTTGCGCAATGTACGATGACTGACAATCCTTTTCAAGTACGGCTCTTCATGCTTTTATTCTTATGGCATTGCCGCTCCTTCCACAATGCGGAGAAACAATGCTTCTTCTACTGCCGAGGGACTTGTCAAATCGTGTTGTCGCTGCGCTGGGCTCTCCACACACAAACACAAACATCCGCATCCACACATCGAGAGATTGAATTCGAGATCCATCCACCACAACCGGTGCACAATCTGCTACCGAAAACAAGCAAGAAAAGGCATAAAATGCAAAAGCCCTCCGGGGGGGAAAAATTCGAACACCACGAAACACCGAACAAAAAAACTCGAAAATTCAAAGCAACCAAAAAAAAATCGCAAAACCACAAATCGCACAACAAAAACATAACCAAAAATCATAAAATCGAAGGAAAAAAAACTCGAAAATGCAAATCAACCAAGAAAATTCATTTTTACTCTGGTCTTCTTCGCGCGAGAGTTTGAAGCTTTGGCCGGCCATACACCAAAGGGTCTTAAGACGTCGTGCATTGGTATTGTAAGGTGGAAGGAGTTGAATCTGTTATTCTTTTGCGCGCGTTTGTTGTTGGATATTCTGACAATCTGCAGTGTTTTCATGTATTGAGAAAGAGAGTTGGCAGATGAATATCCTAACTTAGATACCAGCCTGAACTGCCATACTAGGTCAGAGGTAATGGACGTCTTAGCTTAGCTTGGTACTTGGTGCTCTTGTAGTCTCTAGCTTTCAGAGTAGACCGGAGTAAAGGGTGATAGAAGGTCCAATCTAGCAAGCTAACAGAGGACGTAGTCGAAGCTTTGTGAAAATCCTAAGGTGTTGGCGCCAACTCTTCAAAACGAATTTGAATGTTGTTTCAGTCCAAGCTTGTTGTTCCTACAGTGGACATACTCCATCTCGATGTCTACGTACTTGGAGAAGCTTTAAACGGGCAGATACGAAGGGTGTGCCAGGAATTCATCGTCATTCTGGATTGAACCCTGTGAGGCGGCTATACAATTGTACATGCACGCCCGGTAGCTCATAGCAGAGCACTTTCCGCCTACTAAGCTTTACTGTGCCCCTTTCCGCCTTCCTTTTTTATTATTGTTGTCTTTTTCACGTTGCCTCAATCACGGGGATGTCTCTTTTGCATCCCATAGGTACCATAGTATGTGATGCAGAGCGAGTCGCGAGCGTAAGACGGTAGGCCAGTGGATAATACTTTGGACCGGATGGCGGGGAGTAAGAGCCAGTACCTAATGAATGGGGCAAGATTAGAGCGCGGCCGACCTCGAGTCCGTCTTAGTAGCCTTGGAGGAGAACAGGGGCAGAGAAACACTTGAACATGTTACTAGGAAGCAAATCCGCTGACAGAAGGGACCGCGAACCAGGGGAGACGATGGTGGTGGGAAGGCGCGGCGCGAGCTGGAGTAAGAGAAGCTTGAGAGGCTTTGTACCTGCCCGGACGAGATTCACCTATTCTGAATGCATAGCAGACGCTCTTTGATTCTTTGCATTTCAAGTTGAAACAGGATTCTGGTGGGCGTGAGGGGAGACCGCTACCATACCTACCCTACCGGTATCTGGCCTTTTGTGAGACGGTAGTGAACGAACGAGTCGGGTTGAGTTTGACGCGGGCAGTTGTCACCGAGCCAGTTGGGCCATCACTGGGACACCAACCTTGGAATGGCATTCTGGCTCTGAGGATCCTGCATTTACTAGGTCGCATAATAGAACGAGTGAGAAGTGGACGGATGCGAGATTCGGTAGGCAGAGGGAAGAACGGCAAACTAGATCGGCGATGAGGATAGGGCGCAGCCGGAGATGGAATGGGTAGTCGTGAGAGTTGCCCAGCTCAGAGATGGCATTGGACTGGAACAGCGAGAGAAATTAGGAGAATGTGGGCTCTTCCATGAGCCACCGGCCGCGAAAATTCTTACCTGAACATGCTTCGCAATATGTGTTGGCTTGGAGCTCCAGTTGCCTTTTCAGTCTGAATATCGCGGGGATTGATGTCCGCCAGGAGTTTGTCCAAGTAAGTGCCCATGGTATTCTATCTTACCTTGAACGTGAAGCCGCGAGACAGCAGACCAGGGGTTTCGCAGTGAAACGCAGTACCGTAGCAGTGCTTTTTCTATAGAATCTTCCTTTCCCGACATCAAGATCTCTCATACCATAGCATCACATCACTGGCCCGAGCGTCGAGAGAGCGACAATGAATTCGATTTGGTGATACGGAGCTGCAATCGGTCGATCGAGACACGGACGGCGGCGGAAGAAGGGGGTCGCGGAGTTCTCAGAGCAGTGTGCGGATCAGGGGAGAGGGAGTCCTAACTGCAGTGGGAAAGAGGTTTCAGTGGAAGAAGCGACGCAGGAAGGGCTTTGAGCTTGAGTGCAGGGAGACTACCTAAGACTTGCAAATTGTCCTATGGATGGAACTGCTGTCTCCGCTCTGTGTCGGATGTCGAGATGCAGCCTGGGCTCTCCTCAAGCGCATATTCTCAGGCGCTAATCACATTAAGGTGAACCGCAGTTGGCATGGAATGGCTGTGGGTTTGCAAGCTTGTTGAGAAGAGGGAAATTGGAGTCATAATAAACGTTATAAAATAGTGAATCGCAGCAAGATTATTGAGAGAATGCCAAAGGTCTTGCAGGGCAAGGTGATCATGAACAATCTGACTAACATGAGCACAGTTAGCTTCCACTTATCATCCGTATGCAGGCGTCTTGTAGAAGTGACATAAGGTTATTAATCTCATGGGGCGGTGGTGTCTTTGGCCTGGGCCAGAGCAGACTCATTCACTGTGGATTGCAAATTCTGCCCCTCCTTCATCCTCTACTACTTTTGTACCTATACCGCGATGTTTGTCCGTAGCAATGTTCATCCCTTCTCAGTCCATTGACGTTTCTCTTTTATTATTGTTGTCTCATCGCCCTGTGAGCAGTTTGTTGAACATAACCATCTCTACGCCTCAATCTGTCTATCACCCGTCTTTGGAACGCCATCACAAACTACAAAACCATGGCACCAGAACAAACCATCAAGCCTCTTGAACCCATCCCCAACGGCAAAAAGAGCGTTTGTTTCGCCCTCTCCCGTCCCGAAAACAGCGCCCGATTCGCAAGCATGTGCGTCGAGGACGCCATCCGCATCCGCAGCCTCATGCAGGGCGTTTCGGCTGTCCTCTTCAAAGCCGATATCGAACTAGACGTTCGCACCAGGGACATTTCCAAGACGTTCCGTCGTTTCCAGGATTGGATTACGGTGATGGGGATGGATGAGGACGAGAGCAACCTCGAGAACGCACACATAACCAAGGCTGAGAATATAAATATGCGCATCAACCACCCACTGAACATCCTTTCCTCGAACAATACCCTCCTCAACGGCTGCCGCGTCTGGCTAAAGGCCCTGAAGACAGCGATGGAGGGTCTTGTCCGCAAACTCGGTGATCTCGAGTCTGGTGTACCGTTCGCTGCGCTCGAAGAAGCGATGTATCGCCAGCTTGAGTACGCCGTTGAAGCCATCGACAAGCTCGATACCCTCCCGTCCGTCGAAGAGATCAAGCTTTCGCGTCAGGCCGAAATAGAACATGAGGAGGAAGATGAGTACGTCGATTGCGAGGCGTACGCGGGTGCCACGGGTCTGGCTGCTGGTGGTTTTGCGGATATTGTGTGGGCCGAAGATGACCCTCACACGTTGGAGGATGAGGTTGTTGTCCTTGAGGAGGAGGATGATTGTGAGCATGTTATACTGGATCAGACGGTCTTGCTTTCGAGGGAGGATGCGGAGCATGTCATCTTGGACCAGACGGTTTTGCTTTCGAGGGAGGATGCGCATTTCGGGATCATGGATCAGACTGTTTTGCTCTCCAGGGAGGATGCGCTTTTTGATGTGATGGATCAGACGGTTTTGCTTTCACGCGAAGACTTTGAGGACGAGTGGGAGTCTGTTTAGAAATCCCCAGCCGGGCGCCCCTGTTTCTTCCACGATGCTACGAGGGATCATGGACCTTGAAGGTGAACAGCACTTGTTCCATGTAAAGGTTGAAACTTTGGGAGGAAAAAATGTTTGGGTGAAATTGGAATAATTGCTTGTTTTATCTGTTATGTACCTGTCTTTGCCTTTTGATGCTCAGCATCAAGGCTTTTGGTCTGACTTAGTAAAAAGCCTATGACTACTACATTGACTTCTCCTTGTAATGCACTGATGGCATTGTCTTTCCTAGCCTCCAGTGTACCTAACATTTTTTCTCCATTGGCCAACTCGTAACGTTTCTGGCTACTGATACTACTCTTTAGTCTATACCGAAGCCGATTATAATGCTAGTTCTCCTTTTTCTCGTTCAACGGTAGCCAAGCCTCAGGGTTCGAACTATTCGCGATCGAACGAAAATATATAATTTACACAGAGAAGAACGTTGCAGCAAACACGCCCCTTCGCACGATATGCGGGGACTCTTGGCTCCAGTAGCCACCAGCTCTTGACATACAAGAGATTAATACGGCAATAAGAACAGCTAAGCCTGTGTACCCCAGACGATCACATCGTCATGTATTGGTATAGATGGTTAAAGCGGCGCCTTATCTCGCCCAAGTGGGCGGCGGCGATAAGCTGATAAGATACCAGACGCATGTGCTTGTGATAAGCCACGGGCCGATAAGATAAGCACTCCTTATCGCTCCTACCGCGGGATCGATCGCTCTTTCCAAGGTTCTCTCTCCACTCACCAACCAAGATGTCGCCAACAAAAACAAAAACCAGACGCATCACTCAGGCCTGCGACTTCTGTCATCGAAGGGGTGTCAAGTGCAGACCAAAACCTTCGGAGTCTGGAATCACCGCGCCCGAAGGTACCTCGTGCTTGACCTGCGAAGAATACGGCCAGGAATGCACGCGGAAGCGCCAGCCAAAGAAGAGAGGGACGAAGCCGCGGGGTGAGAGCAAAACAATAGCACCTCCAGAACAGGACATTGCAAGAACATCCCTGGACCAATCTCTCCGCGAACCGAGCATTCAGCTTTCAAGATCCCCGTTACTCAATGGTATAGCCGGGAAGCCGCCGTCGGCTCTCGCAAATCGGCGGACAATCACAGAGCTGCTTGATGTTTATCTTGACAGCATTCATCCAAAGTGAGCGACCAGGAATCAATACCAAGGTGAGTACAAACTAATGGGGAACAGCTTCCCGTTATTCTGCGAGCGCGAGCTTTGGGTAGGTTGGAGAGACGGCACCTTCCCTCGAAACGATTCGGACTTTATGAGCTTGACGAGCCTCTGTGCCTTGAGCGCCCAGCACGTTCGCGATGGTGCCCTATTTAGCGATAACATCAAACCCACAGAGTGGAAGAACCTGCGAGAAGCGTACGTCGCTGAAGCGGTTCGCCTCGTCCCAGTCGATCTTGAGAACTCCGATCTGAATCTCGTCCGGTCGTATACATTCCTGGCGCTGCTCGGTGCACAAACTGGAAACCATGCGATGCTTCACAAGTATCTCAGTCTTTGCCACGGTGTATCCGCGCAGCTCAATCTCGATGATGAATCACGATGGTCACCTACAATTACCACGTGTGAGCAGGAAGTCCGCCGGCGGCTATGGTGGTCAATTTACCGGCTTGAAGTCCATACTGCCTGCGTGCTTGGGAACTTTGTTCGCACGTCTGAAAGCCGCTGTGGAGTTGGCTACCCAATTGGAGCTCATCATCCTGCTTTCATACCTGGACGGACTGGGAAATATGAAGACTGGTTTAACGGCTGGAATACGACGACTGATCTTTACAGGGTTCTTGAGCACGCGATTTCCGAGTTGCGAGCAAAACACCGGCAAAGCCACTCCATACTTGGTCCCAGTGACTCAAACCCCGTGGCTATTATGGCTCGCCTGTCAGAGATCCAACAGCGCCTACTTCCTCAGTTCGTCACGCCTGCCTCGCGATCAGGCGACAACGGACGTAATCGTTGCGGCTTCCAAGCTCCGAACATCATTTGCACGATTCATCTGGCGAGACTCTTGGCATGCGTTTTTGACGACGATGGTCCCGCTCTTGCATGCGGTGTCGCAGGTGATCTGCTCGCGAGCATTACGGCTATACCTCTCGAGTACATCCGTGCTGCGGGCTCCCCTCTAATCCAACAGTTGGCGGGTGTAGCACACATTTTGGTCGGACTCGCCAAGAAGCGTCCTCTAACAGGGCTTCAACTTTCGCAAATCGAAGACGTTGTTCATTCAGTCATTTGTTTACTTAGTGTTCTTGCCGGCCAGAGTCCTATAGCCTTCACTACTCGAGATCGTCTCACCAAGTTACTGTCCGATTTGCAAGAGGTAGTTGCACCACCTCGACCGGATTATGAGGTCCTCAATACTTCCACTACTCCGGGTGATATACAGACACTTTTCAACATGAATGTGCATCCGGACTTTGCGAATGAGCTTCTGACGGACTTTACGTGGCTCTACCCTCAACATTCATGACGCTACTATCGATCGAAAGCTGTTTCTTTAAGACCAACGCAACAGACTCACTATCGCCTATCTGGCCATCTTCGTGTTATGTACATTGTTGCTCTTTTGCTTGTTCGACCTCCATGCATAGTACTCTCCCCCAGTCATGATTGGATACTTCATTGGATTTTCATCGCTGACACACGTCGGAATAGCCTCTAGGAGCCTCCGTCGATCGAATCCGAAGAAGAACGGCGCCGAGTACCTCTCCTTCCCGCTCTTGTTGATGACGCGATGAACAGTCGACACGAAGAAGTCATTGGTTTGCCGCATGAAACAATCCGCGATATTGACGACAAATGATCCCGGAATTGGCTCCGCCTTGATCCAGTTGCCGTTCTTCCCTAGCACCTCGAGGCCGCCGCTCATATCCTGCGTCACGATCGTGAAACACTCTACGTCCGTATGGGCGCCGATACCGTTCTGATCCTCGACCGAGTGCTTTTGTTCCGGATAGTGCAGAATACGCATACCCGCTTCCGGTCGCTTGACGTACTCATCGAAAGCGTTTTCCGGGAGATGCAGAGCGAGGGCAAAAATCCGAGTCAATCGACGTGCCAACTTCAGGAGCTGTCCGTGGTATGCATAGAGGCCTTCTCTAAAGCCAGGCACGCCTGATGGCCATATACTGACGGTTGGCTCAGCATCCTCCGCTGCCTCTGGGTCCTCTCTTGGATCGTACGACCAGTTGAACGCCTCGCTCAAGTCTTACTCGTCAGCGACTTTTCCTATGAAACGTGGCCATCATACCTTGATGCTTCCACCCGTTCCGATTATAGCACTCCATCGGATGAAACCCTACGTACTCGTTCGGAACCAACCCAGTAAAAACCTCCATCTTCTTCTCCTCAGGAAGAGCAAAGAACCGCTTTGCCTGCTCGAACGTCCGCTCTGAGTACGATTCGTCGATTCCCTTACGGACCATGTTAGCATCGAAGTGCAGAGTACAAGACAACGTACATGATTGACAAGATAGAAGAATCCGATGTTCCGCGACGCCTCCCGAATCTCCTCCGCTACGGCCTTTCGGTCCTCAAGATTATCGCTCCATATTCTGCCCGCGTCGACGACCGGGATTTTCTCGAGAGTGGTTGAGATGTTGGAGTTGAACGAGAATGTGCTTCCGTTCATCAAGGTCACCGTCCTCGGCCCCTCGGGTACTTCGATTGTTGTGGTCTGGGACATTTCGACTTCTCGTTTAGTGCTTCTAAACCAAGGCACAATCGAACCCGGTGATCAGTGGCTGTTTCCTTTATACTCGAATACTTTGAATCTTTGACCGATTGGTATGGGTTGATTCAGCGGGGTAACGGTTGAACTGCAGCATCGAGGAATAACTCGCGATTATCCGTCCAGGTCGAGTGGTTATCAGCAGGTTCAACGGTTGATTACGCCTACTGCCTTCACCATTGGCCATTCTCAGCTTTATCCGTGCAAGCCAGCGAGATAAAGTGGACCCCGCTCCCCGCGCCATGATAGCTCAAGTTACTCCAACTCGGCTGAACTGCTGAATTTCAGAGTTATCGACCTGGATTGATCTTGTGTGATTGGTTTACGCAAGTCTCTACACTTTGCCGATTTGCAGCCCGCAATGTCCTTGATGGGGTTGCATATCTTCTGACCTAGGTAGACATCGCCATTGATAACAGCCGTTCATTCAGATATAATACGGAATTGGCATCTCTTTAACCCGATGTGTTAGAGCGATCCTCCCCAACCGACGTGCTATTATCTGCTACGTTTCGTCCTGCATCTCGAGTATCACGCCATTCGATATGGCGGCAAAATCGCCGTTCCTCTCTCGTCTTCTAAGACGACTCGAAGTCAATCGCGATACGGATGCTCAAGTGGATATATATGTGAACAAAGATACGCGGCCACTGCCCCCATCTCGACGACCCTACGGGCCGTGGCATTTTGTTGGCCTCTGGATGGTAACTGGATCATTTAACGTTGGGGGATGGACGACCGGATCGTCGTTGATTTCGCTTGGGCTTAATGTTTGGGTAAGTCGCTGCACAGCACCAAGTTCGCTAGCTGACCATCCAAGCAAGCCATGCTCGCCATCATAATCGCGCATACCTTCGTTGGATTCGTCTGCGTGGCGGGCGGACACCCCGGCGCGAAATGGCACATCGGCTTTCCTATCTGGATGAAGCAGAACTGGGGAATATGGGGGTATTTATTTCCTATGGTAGGTTGATCTTGAAGTTTGTCGGTGCGCGCTAATCTCGCTAGGCAATACGAGTGTTTCTCTCCTTCGTCTGGACAGCCACGAATACCTGGTACGGAAGCCAGTGCCTCAAGGTCCTTTTGACCTGCATCTGGCCTTCATTCCTAAATCTCGACGGCGACCTTGCAAACGGTGCGATGAAAGTGTACGATATGGTCGCCTTTGTGCTGTACTTCCTCCTCTGCCTCCCGCTGGCGTGGTTCAGTCCAGAAAACTACAAGAAACCATTCATGTTTGCATCCGTCACGGTCGCAACCACCGTCTTCGTCCTCCTCATCTGGTCAACCGTCCGAGCAGACGGAGGCGGTGCCCTTCTTCGCGATACCAGCAGCGTCTCCGGCATCGAGCCTGCAACCGGCAGCGCCCTCGGCTGGGCCTTCGTCTCCGCTATAACAGCCAACATCGGAAGCATCGCAACGCACATGTGGTCGCAGTCCGATTACACCCGCTACGCCCGGAAGCCCGGCGACCAAGTCCTTGCCCAAATCATCATGGTCCCGCTCGGTACAATCATCGTCGCCTGCATCGGAATCATCTGCACCTCCTGCGCCGCAACCCTCTACCCCCAGGAAGAAGGCCTCCTCTGGAACCCCTACGATTTCCTCGACGCAGTGCGCCGCAACGAAGATACCCGCGGCGCACGCGCCGCCGTAGCATTCGCCAGCATCGCATTCATGCTCTCGCAATTCGGCATGGTCGTGGCCTCGAACCTCGTCGTTGCAGGAATCGATCTCGCCGCTTTACTACCCCGCTACTTCACCATCCGCCGCGGCGGCTACTTCACCATCGTCTTCGCGTTCGTCCTGCAGCCCTGGTCGCTCCTGAACAGCGCAACGTCCTTCCTGACTGTCGTTGGCTCGTTCAACATTTTCCTGGGCCCGCTCATGGGCATCATGTTCGCGGATTATTTTCTCCTCCGCAAGACGACGATGAAGTTAACGCATATGTACGGCTCCACGCCGGCTAGTATATACTGGTACACGGGGGGATGGAACTGGCGTGCGGCTGTTGCGTGGGTATTTGGGACGTGGTATCTGGTTCCGGGTCTTGCGCAGAGGGCGATGGCCTCAGGGGAGGTTTGGGCGGGGTGGACGAGGCTGTATCAGCTGGCTTGGTTCCTGGGGTGTCTTGTTTCCGGCTTGGCTTATTTGGGGTTGGATTGGGTAGCTCCCATGCCCGGGAAGAGGAAGGTTGATGATGAGGATTACTTTGGGACGTTTGAGGAGCGGGATGAAATTCTGGGTGTTGATGTTGATGTGGCGGCAAAAGAAGGGGCTCTTCGGGAGAAGGGCGAAGTGACTATAGCCGAGAAAGGAGTTGGTGCATAACGATGAGTTTATCCATTATGATACCTCGAGATAGTAGAGAGCACCAAACAAAACAGTTAACCCTCCCATATCTTATCCAAAAGATCCCTGCACAGCTGATCCGCAACCCCATTCTCCTTGCGCGGGATATAAACATACCTCACGCTCCCCAACTCCCTCACCTCATCATCCAAACCCGACGCCCTCTCAATAAGATCCCGATTGCACACCTCCTTGCCCATCGCATTCCTCCACCCGTTATTCGCCCACCAATACACCCACTCGCTCATACACCCCACCGCATACCGACTATCCGAGAAAACCGTCACCCGGAACTAGGGCGAGGAATGCAGACCCTTGTAGCGCGCCAGCGCCTTCTCCAGCGCAAGGATGATTGCCGTGAGTTCGGCGCGTTGGCTAGTGGGCGTGGGTGTTGTGCCGCGTGGCAGAGAGCGCGTCCAGGAGCGGAATCGGCCCCATTTGTTCTTGTGCGCTGCGGCTGCGGCGCCGAAGGCGTTGGGTGCGCCGTTGTTGCGGCACCCGCCGTCGACGTAGAGGTTCATTATGTAGGGCATTTGGGATTGTTCGGTGGTGGTGGGATCGAGGTTGGAGTGTTGGGTCCGCAGGGAACTGCTGGATGGAAGGAGTCTACCTAAGTTAGCAAAGATCACGACCTGGAAGTAGCTCGGGGTAGCATACTCACGATCTTTGGCCCTCTCTGCGTCTGCGAGGATGATTCAGGAAATTCAGCAAAGCAGCGAGGACAGAGGGTGCTGGGGGCCTGCGATTGTCAGGTAAACGCTCTGCTGCGGGGTCACGTGCGCTCTCTTCCCTTTCTTCACTGACAGTCACCCATGAGGCCATTCAATCTCAGCGGGATTCCTTTCCCACTTTACAAGGAATATGCAGCGATGAGGCGTTCTGGAATACCGTGTTGTTCAGATCATGTTTTCATCCTTACAGAGGAACACGGATAACGGGCGTTTCGCTGAGCGGGCGTCGTAAGCGCAATGGACCACTCCAGGTACTTGAATATCTACATATTCAAGGGCTAAAGAGCCGGCTCATTTGGACCCCGGAGGCTACTTAGTATAGGTATGCGTCGGTCGAGACCGCAGTGCCGAGAGCTGTCCGCCTGACATCTGCGAACTTGGAATCAAGGCCTTTCTCGCGCGCTGTCACTCAGCTGACCCTGACAAAAAAACAGAAACCTTAGACAGCCTTCCCATGATACATATCAGGCCTGAGTTCTCGTCGTAATTCCTGGGTCGTTATGCGAGGCCAACATGCAGCAATACACAAGTCAAGGCTGGACATGCAACTCAATTATCGCACCTGCAACCCCCGAATCTACTCGTATGTACGACACCATCCAGTCAAAGAGCCTAGCGACATCCGTCACCTCCAGAATCGTATTCATGAGCCAAACCCACAGGTCATGAACATCATGATCAACTTGCGCGGCCTCAGTGGTCAAGCAGCCGGTGCATGCCCTGCGGCCCTGACCTTCGTTCCCACCGTGCTGCCGATCTCAATCGTCGCCAGATACTCCCTACATCAATGACGCTCTCAAGCAATATGATCAAACAGATGATTCGTTGGTTTGCATGGGCATATGTCTTTTGTAGACCGCGAGAACAGCCTCGGTCTTCAAAGAACCTGAAGGACTTCGATTCGAGACGAATCCCTCGACGCCAGACGAAGAAGGCCCTCTGGATCCAGTCAAGCATGAAGAAATAAAGCGGTCTCTTCAGACTTGCAGCTTCCGCTCCTCAGCTTGAGCAATTGTCAAAGGAGCGGGAGTTGCTGCTCGCCTGCCCAGGGTGGCTTATTGTTCCTGGTGGTACAGGTGCCTGGCTATCTTCGTACATCCGGAGACAGCGAGGGCGCTGGTCAAGATCTGAGAGGGAACGACAAGCATCCTGTCATTCTTTCTTCGCATTCCGTGCCTGAAGGATTCGATGACAAGCCGAAAACATCTAAACCGATCTTTAAGAGTGGAATGAGGCGTCCAAAGCGATGTTGCCGCGGATTCTATTTGCCGAGTGAGGACAGGTCCAGACCGGGAGGAAGAGCGGCGAGAACGAAGCCCAGGGCCTCGACGATGACTTGTCAATTGACTGATATCAAGCAAAGAACTGATTGGAGAATTAGGGCAGATCACAGCTGTCATTGGCGAGGTGGAGAGCCCAAGAATTCGACCTCCAACGCGGATTCTTTTCCGTGCGCCCGAGGTCGGTCTGCTCAGGGTTTTCATCTTTGCTACCCGATCATTTCTGACTCACTGTTCTCTCAAACATAGCAATTAAAGTCGTCAGTTTCCGTAATTACGTGACTGCTTTGGCTCTACACTTCTAATCTTAACATGTTCGCCAGCCCTGAAGCTGCACCCGACCCACCAAATGAGCTTAAATGAACGCGAGAAGAACAATGGAGCCGATGAGGAGCGGGCCGTCGAATGTCCCGTGGATGAGTTTAGCCGATTCTCTGGCAGCAGGAAGATTGTCATGACGGTTGTTATCTCATGGACTGGACTGCTGTCTCCGATGGCAAGCACTTCAGTGCTGTCGGCCATTCCCAACGTCGCCGCCACATACAATACTTCCGGCTCGATGATCGGGCTGAGCAATGCCTTGTATCTGGTCTTCATGGCCTTGAGTCCGTGCTTCTGGGGTCCGTGGTGTCAAACAATCGGGCGACGGATGGTATGAATTTCCTAGCAAATCTTGAGCCCGTTACTGACTGTCCGACCAGTCGTGCCTCGCTAGCACTCTGATCTTCCTAGGCGCGTCAGTTGGAACCGCTTTGAGCCCGAACATTGGCGCATTCATGGTGTTTCGCATGCTGACTGCATTTGTTGGCACGGCGATCCTGGTTATCGGGCCTGCTGTGATTCGGGATCTGTACCCTCCGCTCGAGCGAGCGACCGGGATCGCATGGTTTTACACTGGCACTCTTGTTGGTCCGACAATTGGTCCTCTCCTTGCCGGTGCGATTGTGACTTATACGACGTGGCGTGTGATCTTCTGGCTGCAGACCGGGCTCGCGGCGGTATCGTTGGTCGGCATCTTCTTTTTGTTGCCCGAGACCCTGAGTGAAACCGCACCTCGGCCGCTCAAGGGCTTGAGCCGGAAAGGGAAGATCAGAGTATTGCTTACGATGACCAACCCTTGGCGGGTTATAGCCCCGTTCAAGCGTCCGAGTCTGGTGGTCACAGCTATCGCCAGCGGATCGCTCGTCTGGAACCAGTACGGTCTCCTGACTCCCATCCGATATGTCTTAAATCCAAGATTCCATCTCGAAAGCCCGCTGCAGTCAGGCCTCCTCTACCTAGCCCCTGGATGCGGATATATCCTGGGCACGTTCTTCGGTGGTCGATGGGCGGACTACATCGCTCGCAAGTGGTACGACAAGAGGGGGGAAGTCTTTGTGCCTGAAGACCGACTGTACGCTGCGGTTCCGTTCCTGGGAATCGTGATTCCGATCTGTATGCTCATCTATGGGTGGTCAGTAGACAAGGAATTCGGCGGGCTCGCGCTGCCTGTGCTCTTCATGTTCTTCCAAGGCGTATCTCAGCTCTTCTGCTTCCCTAGTCTCAACACGTATTGTCTCGACGTCGTTCCGGATAGGAGTGCGGAGCTCATCGCAGGGAATTTCTTCATTCGATATATCTTCGGTGCCGTTGCCTCTGCCACTTCCATTCCTGCTGCGGAGTCCATCGGTGTTGGGTGGTTCAGCACCATCTCGGCTCTGCTTCTGGTCGTCGGGGGCACGGGTATCTTCGTCGTTGCTCGCTGGGGCAAGGCGAAGTCAGTTGATGCATAAAGCCGAAGACAGGGAGGACCAGATAGGGTAGGTATGTGGATTTGACGCCCATCGGACCGAAGCCAGTGCCTGAGACGTGGGATTGGTTGTGGATTTCGCTATCAGCATTTTCAACTCCGCGGAGCAGGCAAGGCTGTCAAAAAATGGCCGAAAAGCTACTGCGTTAGGGTTAGAATGGGACGAGACCCTGCATGAGTGGAGGAAAACACTGTTGAGCAGCTCGACTCGTCGAATGAGAGCGGACGTGGATGAGGTCTTCAAGTCTTCTTCCTCATCGCCGACAGGGACACCGCGAGGAAGGCGCCATGCAGCAGCCTGCTCTGGGGCATTCACCAGCTCGAACTTCCTCTTCTACTTCGGCTTTTCCTCCAATATCTGCTCCATCATTTGCTTTCAGATCTTAACAGCTTTCTCACCATGTTCCCCCAGCTCCTGTATATGCTATGGGCAATTGCCTTCCACCTCCCCCTTGCCGCGTCGCAATCCAATGCCACAGCCCAGGATCCTCACACGGATCCCTTCTACCAACCTCCGCCTGGCTTCGAGACATCACCGCCAGGCACCATCTTCCGCGAGCGCGTGATCGCTACCTCCTTCTTTGGCATCGTCCCTGACCCCGTGGAAGCACACCAACTGCTCTACCGTACCACCGCCATCAATGGGTCTGCCATCACTTCGGTCACGACCGTCTTCAAGCCCGCTCGCCCTCTGACCGATCGATTCGTCTCCTTCCATACCGCATACGACAGTGCGTCCGTCACCTGCGATCCCAGCTACCAGTACCAGCTCGGCGTCGTCCAGACCGATCTCATTTCCACTTTCGAGTTCCTCTTCCTACAGCGACACCTCCTACACGGGTACATCGTATCTGCTCCAGATCACGAAGGTCCTGATGCCGCTCTCGGTGCCGGTCGCTTGGCAGGAATGGCGGTGCTAGACAGCATGCGTGCGGTTATCAACTATAACAAGACTATTGGGTTCTCGACTTCTCGTCCCGCCATCGCAGCAACAGGATACTCTGGCGGAGCAATTGCAACAGGCTGGGCTGCGTCTCTTCATTCCTTCTACGCTCCGGAGCTGAACGTGTTCGCATGGGTTATGGGAGGAACACCCAGCAACTTGACCGGTACATTCTATTACCTCGATGGCAAGATGTACAGCGGCTTCATTCCCGCAGCGATTGACGGACTCTCTAAGCCTAGCGCGTACGGTCCCCAGCTCCTACCCATCATGGATGCTATCGCCACCGAGCAAGGCAAACTGCTTCTGAACTACGCCAATACACACTGCGTTCCAGCGGACCTGGGCCACTGGCCCAACAAGTCCATGTTGTCCACCGACGTTCAGATCCTCGGACCCGACCTCCTCCTTGAACCGACCGTTCATTCCGTCCTGGGCGAGAACCTTCTAGGTGCACACCCCGAAGACACCCCGATTGCCCCGGTTCTTGTTTATCACGGCCTGAAGGACGAAATCATTCCATATGAAAATGTTCCCATAATGGTCGACGCGTGGTGCAACGCAGGTGCCACTGTCCACTTCACAACATACGTGAACGGAGGCCACGCGAGGACTCTGCTCGGCAGTCTAACAGACACCGCCGAGTACATTGACAGTGCATTCAACGGCTCGCTTTCGTGGGGCTGCTCGTCGCAATTCAAACGGATGGTTCTGCGACCTGATGGGATGGAAGAGGAACTTGAGCCTGAGTATCGTCGGCTCATGGGGAAGTTGGATCATGCGGATGAGGTTACGGATCAGTGCGACGTTTAGTTGTTGTACTGGTTTCTTATCAAAAATATCATCAGCGCAGTTGCAGAAAATCGACCATCGGACTGTTATGTTAACGAGGTTGAAAAGATGAGTATCATACCATTATTCAAGTCTCCCACCCTTCCAAGGGCAGATATGGCAAATAGATATTGTTTAGTGTGTCCGTTCCGTTGTACGCCGAAAATGAGCCGACGCGTAAATCTCCAGTACATAATTCTTGATGGTTAGATTCCTTTGCCTATAGCGTCATGATCGATAGAGATCATCAAGACGCTCTGTTTAAAGATGCTTGGTTTTAATCATCTCTACTACCAATGAAGCTACAGGCGAACGTCGATGATCTTTACTAAAAGTGAAGCTACAGACAAAGGAATTTAACCAAGAAGAAAGGTTGACTATTCCAAACCTGTTTCAGCAAGCGGCCGTCTGGCTCGCATTAAGGTCGCATGCTCCAGGCAGCAGGGATGGATGGATGAGACTGACTTCACCCCCGTATGGCTACCCTAGATAGCATCCAAAGTAACCGAGCGAACTATGCATTGCCAAGTCGACGACGATGCGCATTGGCTGAGATGCGGGCGTAGGCTGATTCCCGACGAGGGCAATGCGGACACATGGATCGGATGTGAGGCTGCGTCACTCCTCCCTTGATCGCTAGCAGTGCGTTACGTCAGTAATCGAACCAGCCGAGGGCATTTCAGGCGGCCGAATCACGAATACGAACTTCACGGTGCCGAGGCGGAGATTAGGGAGCGCTCTGGGGTGAGCCCATCGTCGACAACGAGTACGTGAATATGAGCTAAACGATGTACATCAAGTGGTCAATCAGATTCCGTGGACGGCCTCCTAGCGAAGATGTTACGCACGCTGTTTGCGGGATGGATATATTATTCTTGGTTTCACTTGGTAGCTTGCTGCAAAGTGAAATCCTCTAGAAGTGCCCGCCCTCTACATACGTCGATTGCCATTGAGGATAGTATCCAAAATACCACCCATTGAGAGCATTGAATTGTTAATGGACGTTATTTTAGTCTTCCAGATCAAGAACACATGGAACTGTGGATTGAAGGAATGGTGGCATGCTATTGCTTTGAAATTTGTGCGTGTGTGGTTGCGCCCGCCGTTTCGCCAGTGGAGGTATGGATGGATATAGAATCACCCATTCCCATCTGGAGGTCTCCTGAATCCGCGAACTAGAAGATGAAGCCCGAGAATACATGCAGAGACATAAGGGATTGATCATTTATGCAAGGCACACGGTCGGGTGCGGGTGCAATTGAGTCTCGCGAATGCAGAAGCGCTGGTCCAGCAGTGAAAGAACCCTAATTGCGGCGACCAGCCAGCGGAATAGCCCGTATAAGCCGGGTTCGATCTCAAGTGCACCCCTTACTATCAGTAATCCGAATCCGAATCAGAGTCAGACTCATCCAGTATCTCCTGACACAACTCATCCGCCCTAAAGTTCTCGGACCTCGGAATCCAGATATACTCGACATCCCCCTCATCGCGCAAATCGTCATCAAGGCTCGACGCGCGTCTGAGCAAATCCTGATTCGCGACCGGGTTCCCCATCGAGTTCTTCCAGCCGTTGTTGGACCACTTGTAAATCCACTCGCTCATGCAGTTGACCGCGTACCTCGAGTCCGAGTAGATAGTGACGCTAAGATAGGGGTCCGAGGCGAGGTTTCTGTAGCGCCGCAGTGCCTCTTCAAGCGCGATGATTATCGCCGTTATCTCGGCGCGCTGGCTTGTAGGAGACGGAGACTCGGTGCTGGGGAGTTTGCGGGTGTAGGAAAGTGTCCTGTGTCTTGTTTTGAAGACTGCGGCGGCGGCGCCTTTGGCGTTCGTGTAGCCGTTGTTGCGGCATCCGCCGTCGGTGTAGATTTTCATGGTGTAGACCATGGTGACTGGATGATGGTGGGTGGTGGTTGAATGCGGCGGATGTATTGTGCAGACGTGTAAAGCTCACTGCGCTCGCCTTTACTTTTGCCCAGGGAGCATAGAAGATGGAGTGTGAGTGTCAGATTCGATGGGGAGGGAAAGCCTTTTATACAACGTTCTGGGGGCGTGACAATGAGCCAGTCCGCCATCAGCGTCGCGGGGGTTGGCGGGGATGGTTGCCCGACATGCGGGTGTCATGGTAGGGGAGTTGATTGGAAATTGCGATTTGGACGGTGGGCGATCACATGAACCTTAGAGGCATGGCAATTTGCAATTGGTTGGACTTGTCGTACAAGGCGCTCTCATTCATCGGGTGTACAGGGTTCTCCCTGCAAAGGATCGAGTCGACTGGCAATCAATTCAAATAGGTAGGTGCTCTCCGAGCCTGGCTGGCCACTGGAAACGCTTCGACTCGGTCACGTTGCATAATCGATCCCCCGTCCGCAGGGCGACGGGGTTGATCCCAGCTCGTTCATGTTTGATCTAGAGAGACCTACCGGGTGCGTATTCCTGCGAACGATATCAAGGGCAACGGTTTATTGTGGACGCATGGTACCCACCAATTGCTTTGCCCAGAACGGAGTACCCCAACTTCATCATTTCGAATTCAGAATGAAATAAAAGAATGGATAGCATTTGTAATGCCGGCGCAGCACTCGAACCTGCAGCTCTTCTGCGTAGCGACATATGCCCCGGGGTCAGAGGTGTGTGACCATTTCGCCATACTAGCCTGAATGGTTGACTGGGAAAAGCAGCAAACCGGCGATCCATTGATGATTCAAATTCAACTACCTAAGGAATATGGAATGTGAATGTTTTCTTCTGGCGGATAATGCTCCGACGTCATTTTCAGGATTTCCACTTGCGGCCATTCGTTACCGCTGTCGGGTGTCGGTAACCATCAATGGCCTTGTGGTGCTGAATAGGATCTCAATTGCGGCAATCTACACGAAGCCTAGGTTTCTAGAGGTCCTGCGTGACGCTGCCAGGTGCAGATAGGTTGTGGTGGTGCATTAACAAGATATGGGATAGTTGGGAGTATAAGTTCAAGGGTTGCTTCCAGTTCTCTATTCAAGATTAGGGCCAATGACCGGCAATATCGCTCATCCTAAAGATATGTCCAGCCAGTGCATCTGGCCCTGGCCTTTGTTAATCCAACGCCGAATCTGGGCTTCCTCAATCAGGCAAATAGTCCCATTACTGCGCATCACACAGGATCCAGCGTTGGAGGTTATACAGCAATCCTTGGAGTTGTGAAATGTCATTGCGGGTTCTGTAAGGAAATAGGTTGAAGCAGATTGACTGCCAATATGGGATAATACAGCATTGAAATCGAAATTATGGTTTTTATTTCGAATAGACTTACAACAAAACCACACAAAGGCCGGGCTTGTGACACCTTTTCTCAAGTCCGGCGTTTTGTCTTTTCCCAGATGTTTATGAAGCTACAAAGAGAGTAGTGCGACCTAATCTTTCTCTCACTAGATATAAACATAGGCTTAAACCCGGCCGAAAGCCACCTCCAACCAACCACTAGTTCATCCTGCGGGTGAGACCAAAGCAATTCCCCCATCCAACTATTCTCATTCCATCGTCATACCAAACCACAAGCATGGCTTCATACAACAACACTTTCACCAGAGCAAACGGCGACCGCTCAGACTCCCAATGACACTTCAGATGACGCTTGAAGACTCGGTGCGCGAAAATGACAGGAGGAGGGCTGCCAACAGACCTTCGACGACAGCGAACGCCACCCGCCCACTCGCCCAAATGACGCTTGGAGAAATGGTGCGCGCCCAGAGGACCATGCGGGGAAGACTAGAGACGGCTGAGAGAACGGCCGCGAGTCACCCAACTGAGGCCCGACGCGATGGTGCTGGAAGAGCACATGTTACAGGAACTTCGGGAGAGGGTCAGGACGATGCCTACCGACGTACCTTCGTCCGGCGAGAACTGGAACCGCTCCTAAGTGCAATGGAGCTCGGGTTCATGATGGAGGGACTGGGAGTTATGGAAAAGGGACGGGAAAGGCCAGAACAGAGGCTGCAAACGGACCGGGCTTTTTCCACAGAGCACTGGGAGGACGTACTCCCCCAATGGCGCCCACAGAAAGACTCTTGCGAGATGATCTTTACAAAAAGGTGGAGCCCGCCATAGCAGCACAAAAGGACCCCAAAATCAACCGCGACGAGATGGTTGTACTGGTAAAGCAAAGGCGTGTTGAGAAGGGTGGAAGGCACCTTCGTCCACGACTGGTTGAATTCCTTTTCTCGAGCTCTCTTAATATATTTGATTGGACCTGGCTGTATAACAGTCAGTCGGATACACTGAAAATGCCGAATTAAAAGTGGTATTCAGAGTTTACTACCTATCGCCTCTTAATACGGTGAGACAGTATATTGAACATATTGATATTTTCAATGGATATTGTAACAAAGTACATATTCTAGGTATAATTCCAGAATATACTTCATTTTTGCTGTGTTTGCGTTTAAAATCATATTCCAAAAGTAATAACACGACAAGAAAAAGGGCCTTGTGATATCTTTTCCCCTCACTAACCGCAGTTGCCGTCACCCAAACAGTCATAAAGCGACAAACAGAGTACTCCTAATCTTTGTCCTACCAGATATAAAAATGACCATCACCCCCGCCCAAAGCCAAATCCTCCAACTAATCATCAGGTCATTGATGCCCAATCCACTTCCTCCATCCAGTCATTATACCATCACTCCATCGTCCTACCATACCACAACCATGGCTCCAACCAAGAAGTCTACTTCCAAAGCCGACGCTTCCTCCTCTGCAGCAAACAGTCCCTCTTCCTCCGCAACAAACAACCACTCCTCTGCCATCACCACCAACACCTCCACCACAGAAGTATCCAACACCAATATCAACAGCAACAGCTCCGGCCCAACTCCAACCGCAGCCAGCCGCTCTTCCTCTGGAGCACTCGACCACATCAGGGAGAATGCCGAACGACTGCGTGAGAGACTCGCGGAGGGATCGAGCATCCGGGGAGAACCCGACCCCTTGGACTCGGATCTCGAACAAATGCGTATAACATTGATGGCGGAGCTGAAGCCGGACCGCCCACTCTCACCAGTGACCCTTGACGAAAGGGCTATGGTGTCTGCCATCCAGATGAGGATTGAAGCCAACCCAAATCACCGGCTTACACTCGACGCGGCGGAGATGCGCGCTATGGCAAAGACGATTGAGTCGCTTCAAGGTCGCAGGCCTGTCCTAGAGTGGCTGTTTGAACGGCCTTGAGCTACTTCATTCGTCTAGAGACGCAGATCAAGGCTGTTTGAAAGGAGCTTTTCACCGGAGGTTTTACATTTGGGGTGATGCTGCTTGAGTACCGACCTATGTCTGTTGCTACTATCTTATTTAGTCTTTCTCCTATCTCAATCAAGACAATTTCGTTTATTTGTCTCCAGTTTCAAATGGTATAGGTGGTATAAGTATATGGAGTAGTTCAAGCAATGTGTAACACATGTTTTACCTTCTCAGCACTCACACCGGCCCGCATTCCATATGAACCTGTGTTGTCGTAAAGCCTTACTGGAGGTTGTCCCCCGCCTGCATGATTGCATTATTTACACTTTAGGATTGTGAGGACTCAGCCAGTCTTCTTAATTCCACACGACCCAGAGGCACTATACAAGGTCTCTGAGACCTTGCTGACTGCTACTTTAACATATACTCGGCTATGGACGTCACAAGAATCTGACTATTATTACGCAGCCTTAATCGATATATACTACGTAACTTGTAAAGACATTGCCTTCTACGCAGTCGCTTCAATCTCAAGACTCCAATCGAATCCCACGCCCTTCAGACAAAGCGTGATGTATTATGATTGGCTTACAACGTTGACGAGTACTGAGACAACAGTCTAAGTTGTCGAGGATCACTGCCCGTGGTCACGTGACCCGGGTGCTTGGCGCTCCCGAATATTTTTATGTTTTGTAGCCACCACCTAGCTTAGATAGTTAGTTAGTTAATTTATTTACTTTATGGCTTATTATTCCTTTCCTTAGGTTATAAGCCCTTGCTCTGCCTAGGTTTTATTACTTTTTTTTTTATTTATAAATACATAAACTATCACCCACTATATATTACCCACTATATATGCTTAGCTCCATTTTTATAGTTATATGGTTTTTTATTTTATTATAGTTTACTACCTTTTCCTATATTTTAATAAAATATATATTAGTTTTACTAGCTTTTACCACTTTTTTTTATACGCCTTTTAAATATATATATTTATTTTAATACTTATATATTTAATATATATACCCCGTGTGGTTTCCTAGGTTTAACTATATTTAATATTTATTAATACTTTACTTTTTTTTTTATATTTATATAACTTTTTTAGTTTTAATGCCCTAGGGCTTAAAATTAATACTTTAAATTTTTTAAATATTATTTAATACCTAGTTAAAATTTAGTTTTAATTAGTTTTTATAAATATAAGGCGGGTAAATTTATAAGCCTAGTTTATATAAGGTTTTTTTTATTATTACCTTTACCTTATATAAACTAGGCCCCCTAAAATAACTTTTATATACTTAAATATTTATGCCTATATTTCCTATTATTAAGGGGTTAGTAAAAATATAAAAGTAAATAATTAAAATATTATATATAAAAAATAATATACCTAGTTACTAGGCTATTATTATTACTTTTTATATATTTTTGCTCCTGCACCTAATATATTATTTTAAGTAGTTTTTTTATTAATAGGCCTTTTAAGTAATATTAAAGGTATTTATATTAAGTAGTAATTATATATTATTAGCCTTTAATATTTAATATTTTTATATACCTTTATATTACCCGTGGCCTTATTAAAATTAACTTATTAAGTAATATTAAAAAGCCCTTTATAAATATATTTTTTAAGTAATATTAAAGATAACTATTTTAATTAATTTTTATATTTTAATAACCTTTTATTTTTAATTTTTATATTTTTTTATATTACCTATAATATTCCTGGGTTAGCTTACTAAGTAATATTAAAAAAATTAAGGTTTTTAATAATTTTATGTATATAATATTATACTAGGCATGGTTTAAATATTTTAATATATTATAATATAAAAAAATAGTTATATAATTTAGTTTAGCTATAACTATTATTTTTTAGGTTAAAATTAAAGTAAACTAACTAGGTATAAAATATAATATTAAAAAGGTTATTTATAGCCTAGGGTATTATAGGTAATATTTATTTATATTTTATTTTTTAAATATATTATTAAAAAAATAATAACTATATAAAATTATAATTTTAAAAATTTTTTTATAAAGGCCCGGGTTTTAATATAGGCCTATACTTATTTACTTACTTAATTTACTTATTTATAGCCTTTAGGCTCCCGTGTAAGTACTTAGTATTTTAAGTAATTTTATAGCTAATATAATATATAACTACACGTGGTAATTATTTAAAATTTAAAAATAAAGGGGCCGGCCCCTGGACTAAAAATATTTATTTAATAATAATATAAATTTAAGGGCCGGCTTTATTTTTTAATAATAATAATTAAGGTAGTACTTATTATAAAAAAAAGCAAGGCCTTTAACTAAAAATTATAAATAATTATTTTTTAGTAATTCTAATTTAATAATTTACTTACTTAATTTACTTACTTATAGCCTTTGGGTCCCTATAATATATATAAATAATTATTATTTTAAAAGGCTTTATAATTAACATGTTTTAAATTAGTAATCCCTAGGGTGTTAAATATTATTATTATTATTATATATTTTATTATAAGTTATAGTAAATTTACATGCTTATATAAAGGTATATATAAGTTAAACTTTAAAATTTTAACCTTTTTAATAATAATTTTATAATTAATTTAAATTAAATCCTAGGCGGAACCCCAAAGTTTTATATCTTAATTTTATATTATAATAAGTTATAGTTTAGTTTACCTACTTAGTTTACTTATTTAATTTACTTATTTATGGCCTTTAGGCCCCTACGCGTAAGTGGTTACTATTTTAGGTAGCTTTATAATTAATATATTTTAAATTAGCAATCCCCAGGGCATTAAATATTACTATTACTACTATTATAAGATGCAAGTATAAGCCTATAGAATATCACCCACTATATATACTTAGCTTTATTTTTATAGTTATATAATTCTTTATTTTACTATAATTTACCGCCTTTTTTTATATTTTAATAAAATATATATTAGTTTTACTAGCTTTTACCACTCCTTTTTATACGCCTTTTAAATATATATATTTATTTTAATATTTATATATTTAATATATATACCCCGTGTGGTTCCCTAGGTCTAACTATACTTAATATTTATTAATATTTTACTTTTTTTTTATATTTATATAACTTTTTTAATTTTAATACCTTAAGGCTTAAAATTAATACTTTAAACTTTTTAAATATTATTTAGTACCTAGTTAAAATTTAGTTTTAATTAATTTTTATAAGTATAAGGCAAGTAAATTTATAAGCTTAATTTATATAAGGTTTTTTTTATTACTACCTTTGCCTTATATAAACTAGGCCCCCTAAAATAACTTTTATATACTTAAATATTTATACCTATATTTTTTATTATTAAGGGGTTAGTAAAAATATAAAAATAAATAATTAAAATATTATATATAAAAAATAGTATACCTAGTTACTAGGCTATTATTATTATTTTTTATATATTTTTATTCCTGTACCCAGCATGCTATTTTAAGTAGTTTTTTTATTAATAGGTTTTTTAAGTAATACTAAAGGTATTTATATTAAGTAATAACTACATGTTATTAGCCTTTAATATTCAATATTTTTATATACTTTTATATTACCCGTGGCCCTATTAAGGTTAACTTATTAAGTAATATTAAAAAGCCCTTTATAAATATATTTTTTAAATAATATTAAAGGTAACTATTTTAATTAGTTCCTGTGTTTTAATAACCTTTTATTTTTAATTTTTATATTTTTTATATTACCCGTGATACTCCCGGGTTAGCTTATTAAGTAATATTAAAAAAGCTAAGGTTTTTAATAATTTTATATATATAGTATTATATTAGGCATGGTTTAAATATTTTAATATATTATAATATAAAAAAATAGTTATATAATTTAATTTAGCTATAGTTACTATTTTTTAAGTTAAAATTAAAGTAAGCTAACTAGGTATAAAATATAATATTAAAAAGGTTATTTATAGCCCAGGGTGCTACAAGTAATATTTATTTATATTTTATTTTTTAAATATATTATTAAAAAAGTAATAACTATATAAAATTATAATTTTAAAGGTTTTTTTATAAAGGCCCGGGTTTTAATATAGGCTTATATTTATTTACTTACTTAATTTACTTATTTATAATTTTTAGGCTCCCGTGTAAGTACTTAATATTTTAAGTAATTTTATAATTAATATAATATATAATTATATATAATAATTATTTAAAGTTTAAAGGTAAAGGGGCCGGCCCTTAAACTAAAAGTATTTATTTAATAATAATATAAACTTAGGAGCCGGCTTTATTTTTTAATAATAATAATTAAAATAATACTTATTATAAAAAAAAAGCAAGGCCCCTAACTAAAGGTTATAAATAATTACTTTTTAGTAATTTTAATTTAATAGTTTACTTATTTAATTTACTTGCTTATAGCCTTTAGGTCCCTATAATATATATAAGTAATTATTATTTTAAAAGGCTTTATAATTAACATGTTTTAAATTAGTAATTTCTGGGGTATTAAATATTATTATTATTATTATATATTTTATTATAAGCTATAGTAAATTTACACGCCTGTGTAAAGGCATGTATAAGTTAAACTTTAAGGTTTTAACCTTTTTAATAATAACCCTATAGCTAACTTAAATTAGGTTTTAGATAAAACCCTAAAGTCTTATATTTTAATCCTATATTATAATAAGTTATAGTTTAGTTTACCTACTTAATTTACCTACTTAATTTACCTACTTAATTTACTTATTTATAGCCTTTAGGCCCCTACGCGTAAGTAGTTACTATTTTAAATAGCTTTATAGCTAACATGTTTTAAATTAGTAATCCCTAGGGTGTTAAATATTACTACTACTATTATTATAAAATATAAGTATAAGCTTATAAAGTATCTTAGTTTTTTTAAATATTTTATATTTACCCTTAAAAAAGTATTTCCTTAATTTTTTTTTAACTTAAAAGCTAGGAATACCCTACCCAGTAACTTTAATAATCCTAAC